TCTTATTACATATCAAACTAATAATAATAAAAATAATTCTTGAGTCATCCGTTGCTGAAAAGTAGCAAGAACTGAAAGGAAAATTTACAATAAAAAAAAAAAAAAAAGAAATTTGGGGGTTGAACACACGACCTTCCGATTCTAAGGCGGGCGTGATACCAATTACACTAGACTATCGCTTGATGCAATGTACTGTGTGAATGATAATAATGAATGATGTACGCAGACTATCAATAATGTGTCTAATTTTGTACAGCCTATCGCTGCCTGCATGAGCACTGTTGTCTGAGAAATGTAACATTCTCAACAATAGTAAAAAATCTGTCCCTCGAAATTATTTCACAGGAACTTTTAGCAAACAGTCTTTGCTCCAGTTCTCATTTATTTTGAGTTTCTTTGTTCTAAGCATTAGCAGACAGAGTGAAAAAAAAAAAGTTCATCCTAATCTTTGTCTGTCCATCGGGAAAGACCAGAACTTGTAGTGACAGGTGCCTTCTCAATTACTTCCTTGCAGAACCTGTTAGTTTCTGCTGCAATGAAAGTCATCAGTGCTTCCGTGGAAAAAAAAAGAGTAAAAAAAATTAAGCACTGAACTGTTTGAATTTACAGTAGCAGAAATACAGCCAGAGCTGGAGTCATCAAAATGATGCAGACAAGCAAACAGCTTTTTCTTGGACACGCCGGTTTCAGCCGTCGATATTGTTGGCCTAGTCAAATCTTGTTTACTGTCAGAAGTACACATTTCAAAGTCATCTTCGCTATCACTTCTTGACAGAAACTCCATCAATTCATCATCAACTTTAACAACTTTTCTTGCTCTTTTTACTAATGAAGTGTAGAATAATCCAAACCCACAAATATCAGGGCACAAAATACACAGATCACTGATCGCGCTGTCATGGTAAACAAAGCGACGGGATAACACGGAATGCAGTAAACACACCTTAAACACACCTAAAGGCACGTACCAGTGCTTTTAATCATATGTAAATGGGTCAGTTGAATCTAAATATATCTAATGTATATTGCCCTTTGGTCCCTGAGACAAGAGGTCACAGAAATCTGTAAGGAAAGTTCAAAAAACAGGTCAGTACGTCCATAACACTGGGGGTCAAGAAAAAATAACGTCCAAAGACGGGCGTAGCAGCGTATGGGAAAACTGGAAAAGACATCCATAGCAGCGAAAGGGTAAGCTTTCCCTCATTCAAACTTCTCACATTCCATGTTCCTATTCTCACTCTCATTTTTAGTCTGACACAGGGGATTTCCCTGGTAACACAGTCAGGGTTAACTCCGTCATCACGATTACTAGTACTGGTACCTGCATCACACTCTTCCCAAGTGTTATCTGATCTGCCTGGCCTGGGGATGATGAAAATGTAGCCTAGTTTTTAAGGCCTTTTTTACGAACAAAAATGTGCATCTTGTACATCGACAAATATGGTAATTAGGTCATTGTTTAATACAGCATACAGTAACTAAATAATTTGAAAAATACAATCACATTACATGAAATGTAAACATAATGTTATGAGATTTGTAATGTGAATATAGTGAGTGTAAATATGCTTACTGAAAAACTCACTTCAATGTGCTGCATTACATCATCATACATCTCCTTTGCCATTCGAAACACATTGTGATTGGATGAGTTGTACATAATGGCATTTGTAAACATCAACATCATGTCATGCTGGAAGTCTAATGTTGACCTAATAATGCCAGTTTCCACATTCTTCTTAATTGTACTTAGATCCATTGGTCTGTAGAGAAGAATACACATAGACATATGTAATACACATACACACATGCGCCCACAAATAACTGGCTGCTTTAATCCTGATGATTTGTCAAGATCTGGGAAAATCTTCTTAAAGTGCAGCAAAACTGAGTGAAATTACACTTGACAAACACAAACACATAAAATTACACTTGACAAACACAGGCATGTATACACATAAGGTGGCTGCTCAAATGCTGATGATTGGTCAATATCTAGAAAACCATTTATACAGTGCAGCAAAGAGAAATGCCACTAGACTAAAGAAAATCACCGATGAGGACTGACAAATAAAAATAGATAGCGAATGCAACAAAATTGAGTGAAACAACACGTGATAAAGTCTTGCATACATATATGTGTCTGTCACAAAAACTCGTAAACGGTGAGCAGTAGCAACACCAAATTTGGATATGTTATTCTGGCTGCAATTTCAGTATCACTTGTGGTTTTTGGAAAAGTGGTCTACATCGTGCTGCAAGCTAACGCCACAAACACTAACCAGTAACATTCACCGAAATTATTTTCCTCTAGTACCTACATAATTTTTAAAACCCCTTGAAAATTCAGTTTGAAAAAAAAAAACCAGTATTTTGCAATTACCTCCCTTTAAACTTGAAGTCTAGAAAGTAACTGTCCTCTTTTAGCAGTGGTGGCTGCAATAATGTAATGACAAGACCAGTGCCTCCCAGAGTTGCTACTGCTCCCTTGGAGGAGGGTGTGCGTGGTTTGTTGGGGCGGTAGCCTCATCAGTCAAATTTATTGGTGGAACAGCCTAGGAGGACAGTAGTAGCCCTAGGTGTAGTTAGGGACAATGAATAAATGTAAGGCAGCGGTGTAGACAAGAAGTAGGGGACGGAAAAACACTATTTTCATTAAGTATATCAGGGAAAGCTAGGTAATTAAATCTACTATAAACCCACACACACACAAACACAAATAAACGGAAATATGTGTTGCGGCTCAAATTCTGATGACTGGTCAAGATTTTGGAAACTTTTTTTTTACAGTGCAGCATGAGAAATGCAACCAAAGTGAAAAAAAGCTGTGTTGCGCGGAAGGAATCCTTTCCGCTTCTGGTTTGGGAGAGTTTCAATTTGCAGCATAATTCAAGATGCAGTCAGAAGACATTCTTACACCTTCACTGTCAACATACATTTATATCTTGCTTGAAAGTCACTATTTTACCCGGGAACTTCAAAAGAGCATAGGTAAGTTGTACTTTAAAGAACTTAGTAAAATAATTTTTCCCTGCTGCATCTTCTAGACGGGTGCACCTATGGATCAATGGCTGTGTGCCGCATTCGTTGGACTCAGCAGCTGTAACCTAATTGGAGAGTCATACTTCATTCAGAGGGAATGTGTCTCCTGAGACTGGTCCAGGGACCAACTAACCCACCTGGAATATTATATCCTTTTTAATATAACTTTATTCATGTATAATTGATATGTGGGGAAAGAAATATGGCACATTCAGGGCTGGGATCGACACAGATAGCCGATCTTTTGTTTCGCGCCTTGGTTCGGGCGATGGAAATTTTTGGTAATACCCGCTTGGAAGCAGCAGTTCCTGCTTGACTATCAGAGGTAAATAACAGGTTTGGTTGAAGGAGAAATTGTCTTCTGTATTGTATTTTACATTCGACTTGATATATATTCCATGATCCATTGAGTGCCTGTATTTGTTAGGTTTTATTTAATGGGAGGAATACAGCCGATCTTATTCTTGTGCTTGGCAATGGCTGTTTTCACTGAAAAGTCTGGGGCATGGCTGTTCATGTTGTTAAAGTACATTAGGGGATAAACCCATTAGGTCTATTCTCCTCTATGAAGGGCAACCACTGGTATCAGCACAATGAAGATTTATGGTGGGGAAGAACAGTACTAAGGAATAGTATTTGATGGTTGGTTAACACAGGTTTTCATTGTACTATATCCTCAGGATTTGTGAGCTATGATCTAGTGAACCTTCTGATTTTAGTGGGACCTGTGTCAGGGTCAAATTGAGAGATCCATCAGCAAAAGCTACCAACCCAATCCACCATCTCTTAAAATCAGTTACCAAGTACCCCACTTTCCTATTTGCCAGTGACCTGAACAACTCCGCAAGAAGTGACAATGGGTCACCTACCTTAGAAGACAGTCGAAGCTTTGACAGCATCAACCAGTATGTCTAGCAGAAGATTTTGCTTTTCCCATAACCTTCGGGTTATTTATTAAATATCTTTAGCCCTCGAACAATAACAGTAATATTGGGCAGATGAGTATATCATAGAACTGTGTATTTGTGCCATGGAGACTACAGGAGAATTTGACTTGGACTGAGGAAAGGAGACGTTCGACCATTCATTGTAGCTTGATGATAAGTATATGAGACCTGAGTACAGCCAACAGGTCAATTCATGCCATGAGCTTACTATTTCCATATTACATCATCAATGCAGTGATGAACTTGGTCAGTGACTTTAAGACAGGCCTGTAGTCATTCCTGACTAGACATAATTTATGTCATACTATATTCTACTGTTCTTTCATCCAGATCAGTCCATTGAGATTTCTCATATATTTGTTGTAACTTGTTACATCATGCTTTTTTAAATATAGAACTTACTTATTTGTGTATCTCATAGTCAAGGATTTGAATATTCAGATTCTTTCAGTGGCACTACATTTTCTATTAGAACCCCCTCCAACCAAGTTAAAACAACTCAAAGGAAATCATTTTGACAATGACAAAGTCATAATGACTGCCATGTGATAACCAGTTTCATGTGATATTCTTTTCAGGCCACAGGCCTTTGAAAACTATGGTGCAACATGTTTTCCACTAATTCATACAGATTTTCATGAGAATGCTAACTCGCCATACCTGTGACCTCTACTGCATTTAGAGAGCATGTCTGCAATATAAGTTCAGTATTCATCTGTCTCAGTTCAGATGGACAAAATTCTGAGTGCCCAGTCTCCAAGTTCTTGTATATCCAGCTGCAGAGTCTATTGTGTCTGTTTTGTAATCTAAAATGGCCTATTCCTTTTAAGTGAGGGGAGTTAATTGAGTATTTGGTACTATATTGTCAGAGAAGTCTTCCGATGACTGCCTTGATCTGAGTTTGATTTTCCTCTGAAGGGCATCCTGCATCTGGCTGTTGTGTGGCTCTCAGTGTTTGCCAAGTAGTCTGCTCTTTCATTTCCTACAATGTTGCAGTGGTCTGGAGTCCAGTGGAAAACAGTCGGCTTTTTCATTTCCTACAATGTTGCAGTGGTCTGGAGTCCAGTGGAAAACAGTCGGCTTTTTCATTTCCTACAATGTTGCAGTGGTCTGGAGTCCAGTGGAAAACAGTCCGCTTTTTCACTTCCTACAATGTTGCAGTGGTCTGGGGTCCAGTGGAAAACAGTCCGCTTTTTCACTTCCTACAATGTTGCAGTGGTCTGGGGTCAAGTGGAAAACAGTCAGCTTTTTCATTTCCTACAATGTTGCAGTGGTATGGAGTCCAGTGGAAAACAGTTCGCTTGGTCAGGTGACCCATTTCATTCAGTAGAGATTTAACCTTCCTGAAATTAAGTTGCTTACGGCTTTGTATTATCTGCAATACTAAGAAGTATCTGCCAGCACAACTACTTCTGAATCACAGCTGCATTTAGTGTCAGTAATAAGGATGCTGCTCAATTTGAGATTGAGGGCCTTCTATTCACAAAGTCTCATTAAGACCAAGCAGTCAAGGGTCGGAGTGTTCAATTCAAGTGGTGGATATACTGAAAAAATGATAAACACTAAAATAATAGATGCTTGTCTGTTGGTGAGAAGGTCTTAGGTCTGAATCCGCACAAAAGCGATTTCTATAAAATGATCTTGGTTCCTAGACTGACTGAGCCATAAAATGAGCATCAGGGAATGAATGTTCTGAGAAGTAAAGTTGGCTGGCGTGATGCCGACCACACTGCCCACTGAGTGCCAATTGGGCCATACAAATATTAATTAATCTATCACATGTTGTCACTAACGGGTCATTTGCATTAAAAAACCCATCACTTTTTTAAAAGCTGAGAGTTTAATAAGAGCAGACAGGCCAGTAGTAATTCTCTCTGTGCATTACAAAAGTAAGGCAAAGGAAATCTTCCTTACAAAAAGATGCATTCCGAGAACAATAAGAATCAACACATTAAATAAATATCACACAAAGAGAAGAAACATCTATACAAGTCAAACAAACGAAAAAACAATTAACAAAGGATATTACACACAACAATACAAAGCTTCAAAATGGAAATCCCCCCCCCCCTCCCCCGAAGAAGAATTCAGTATTAGTAAAAAAAAAGGGTATTTCCATGCTCTCAGGAATATGAGCATATACGGCTAGACCTATATTTTATAGACCAATCGGCACTTGGTTGGTGATGTTATCAGCATCATGCCAGCTGCCTTTACTTCCCAAGACTCTACCTGGTTCTTATTCAAGGCTGGGTCGACCTGAGAACCAAGGTCATTTTTTAAATAAAGTCCAGTACCACCAGGACCCAATCCCACTACCTTCCAATCCATAGGCAAGCATCTAGATGCTTCACCACGGCGACTCCCAATTCAGTAATAGGCAGTTAATAAAAACAAAAAAGAATCACTGAATGCAGATGCTTAGAACAAACCTTAGCACGACACTGTGGTAGCCTGGAGCTATATCATTTGTGACTGGATGCAAGAAGACATTAGCATATCTGAAATGTAGGACACACAGCGTACTTTAAAGAACAGCATTTAGTAGGCATAGCACAACATAAATGTTATTCTGTTTCACACGTAAAAAGAACACAATTCTTTGTAACTGACAATAGTGATACTATGACAAGATTAGTCCCTGCTTTTTTTCGGGATGCAGGGCATGTATGCGGCATGTGTATATACACCAAGACTACCTTTCACCTGCAGGAAAGACATTCTGGCTAGACACTAGCTGATAGGTGGAAGGATCATCTATAATCTTCAATGATGAAGAATGCTGAGGATTCAAATTTTGCTAAATTTGACACTGTGCAAGAGAGTCACAGTAATTCTCTACAATAATAGGAGACAATCAGCACTCATCACTTGCAGAGCTAAGGGTATACTCAAGTTAAATGGTTTTTGTCTGTAATGAAACAAGTCATCAACAATTCCTATTCCCTAAGTAAAATAAAAAGTGATCAACTCATTCTGACAAGTTTGAGAATGAAAAGATAGCAACAAAACAGCATAAGTGTGTGCCTCATTTTACAAATGATAGTGAGATTAATTTCCGTACAAATATGGTAATTTAAATAGTCTGCAACTCTGCACATATTACATCATCATCCCCATCCCCATCAGGTCCCTTACTGAAGTGCACAGTTGGTCATGCTTGTATAGACATTGTGATCTACAACAGCCTGTATGAGGCATGATCCAATAAAACTCCTATTGTTTTATTATAAATGAAAACTATATTAGCAGATGTGGCAGAATACAACTAAGGCAACTGTCAGAAAGCAAGCATGTACTTGGCATCATCATTATCAGAAGATGCTATGGCATTCAGACACAAAAACACACTGCTTGAGGGGAAAGCAGATATCACCTGTGAAGTATATTGTTGCTGCTCAATGAACCACTTTGTAACTGTTGTCATTATATATGTGTCAACATGAAATCGCAGTCTGTTAAATCAGTTGATTGCATGTATAAATGCATACCTCTTCATATGAACCGACTTTTTTCATTTATCCACATCAGTTAATTCACATTTCATACACCTATAAATGTTAGTGGGATGGGTTTCATTTAATCATGTCGCACATCAAATTGTGCACTCTGACAAGCTTTCCATGCCATGATTAAAAAAATTTTAAAAAAGGCTATCAAAAAGCTTCAGTCACTATCTTCATCTCACTGTACTTAAACCTCTGGCCTTGTTTAACTCGTTCTTTCTGATATGTGTAACAAGCTGTCTTAGCCTCCCTCCCCCATGTGGGCTCCCTGCTCCATATCAAACATGTTGTAATGGCCACTGAGAAAAGGTTTGCTGAAATCAGTTCTGTTAGCCAAAAAAGGAGCAGATAATGCAGCCTAGCTGTAAACCACAACACAATTTGTCAACTGTAATTTTAAGGCAGAATGCAGAGAAAGATGACAAAATATTTAGGCAGTCTGAGAAAATTTGAGCCTCTTTTGGCTTGTTTATTAATTGTTTGGGGTTGGCAATTGTACATTAAAAGTGATTCCATGTAACATGTAAGAGTTAGCTTAACCTTTAATAACTGAATGTGTGTTATGTATGTATGTATGTATGAATGTATGTATGTATGTATGTATGAATGAATGTATGTATGTATGTATGTATGTATGTATGTATGTATGTATGTATGTATGTATGTATGTATGTATGTATGTATGTATGTATGTATGTATGTGTAAGTGTGTGTGTGTATATATATATATGTGTGTGTATATATATATATATATATATATGTGTGTGTGTGTATATATATATATAATATGTAACAACAATGATGATGCAAGCATGAGACTAGCTGATAAACTTACTTGTGGGTGGCTGCTGCTCTCCATACGAGCATAATGGATTTTTTCCACAGCTTAAATGACTTTTCTTCCTCAGTATCACTGCTATTTTAAAAAAAAAAGTTTGGTAAACAGTTTAGCAAAGCAAGCATAAGTGTTTGATTAACATAAGCATACAGAGACTGATCTTAAATTGGGGGTGGGTGTACCCTAAACATGGTGGTCCGGGGTTTTTAATCCCCTAAAATAAATATGACTGATGGATCACAAATAGGTCTCAGAAATGTATGGATGGCTGTTCACTGCAATACTGACTGTTACTTTTCACATGGCTTGGCATTCCTCTCCGTAAACATAGGTCTAACATCCATTCAATGGAGTCACTATAAATGACTCTGTTCACAACTCCTCAGTTTAAGTCTGTCATCTATATATTTTTCTATATTATTTCTATTTCCTGAAGCACAAACTGGGAGTCAGTTATAATTACAGCATGTCAGACTGCTCTATTCTTAAGCCGTCAGAAAGCTGCCATTAGTTTCTGCTTTCATTCTCATGCTAGCTGTTGTGACATTATATGCAAAGCTTTTTTTTTTAAAAACAACTTCAATTATCTTTTTTTTTTTTAAACTCCATCCATTTTTGTTTGTCACACAGCAGACAGATTTGTGTATATATGAGGGGTGTTCATAAATAACACACCACACCCTTTTTCTCCGAAGTAATTATTTTAAAAATCATGAAATTTAGATACAATATATAACAACGGAAATGGGCTCCTAAAACAAGAAGACCAGAAACAATATCCAAAAGAAAATGGCGGCAGTGGCAGCTTGGGATTTAATTAGAAAACAAGTGAAATGGTCCATATAACACAGATGCCAACAAACAGAATGCCACAAATAAATGCCCTATGGCTGGAGGTTACTGAATGTGGCAGACACTCATGCCACAATCATCAATTCTGATCCTTCCAAAGCAAATTCCAAGCACTGGAAATGAATCATGTAAATAAGCCTTGGGGAAAAAGGGAATAAAAAATAAATCATAAATAGTGAATAAACCTTAAAAAATTTATAGGATCAGCAGTAAAACAGATTTAAACAACAGCAAAACCAGAACTACAAAATTTAGAGCGCATTAAAAAACAAAAACAAATCACAAAGAAAATAGTGATGCTAGAACGACAATTAAAAAAAAGAGGATAAAGCCCTGCTTAGATGTCCTAACAAAGAGAGACAGAAGTAGCAATAGTGAAAAGAAACTTAAGAGACTACTAGGAGAATAAAGTCCATCAAATTGACCTGTAAAAAATATGACCAGAGCAGCTGACTTCATCAGATGTGATAGTATAAAAACACCAAAAAAATATCATTATAACTTTTTTTCAGTCATAAAGCAAAATATTAAAATAGTCAAACAGCAAACAAAGTCATTCAGTCTGTGGGTGTGCGTGTGTGCGGAATGGTAACAGAAATTGATCTTTTACTGTTGATTCCGTCAGCTCTGTTCCACCAAATATATTTTCCAGTCTTTTTGAAAGATTATCTTCATTCTCATCTTTGCACTAAAATATAGGCCAACAAGTTTATAGCTGTCAAATTAACAGATGTACAAAAACACTGATAATAAACATTATCAAAACAAAATGTACAACAATTATATAAACCTACCAAATAGAAAGGGATGCAGGACTATTTGGATATGATTCAGACAGAATGGAGCCACTGTTCACAGAAGCCAACTGACCAGTCAGTATATCCTCCCTCTCTCTATTCTCATCTTCACTTAGTTCCACATCACTGTGCTGTGAGCTTCCACCTTCTTCTTTTCGGTCAGCATCCTGTGACATATGAAACAAAAACTAATCCATAAAGGAACAGTATTTTAGACTGACAATTTCACAGTTACTGTAATATCCAAACGTGTCAATGTCAATCGAGGATGACAAGGCACTGTTCACTATGAGATGCTTATGTAAATGTTAGTTATCAGCAAGTATTTCAGAATAAGGGATAAGCCCCCCCCCCCCACACAAATTAACAATGTCTAGTTAAAGGTGTGAGATCAGGATGCAAACAATGGTACCAACTGTAAACTACCATGTCAGTTGTAAGAGGTGATTAAGTAGGTTGCTATAAGACTGGCCACCTCATTGTGTAGATACATTTTCTAAAATATTCAATATGTCCTGAATAAATCTACAAAGGTTTTTAAAAGATAGTTATGGTTCAATGCCTCAAGGGAAAAGAAAGTAAATGTGTGATAATGAGTAAACAATGTGAGAGTAATACCGAAGCCTCTAAAATATGGCTATAATGATAAATAGAAAGAATATCATGGCAGAAAAAACAAAAATAAAGAAGCAGACACAATGTGGGATGGTAAAAACTTACAGAATGAGATAAAAATCAGAAAATTTACTCTGGAAACAGGCAGGTGTTATTTTATTTATTATGACTTTATGTTGTTACTTTGAGTAATACATTTTTTTTAGTATAAGAAGTTTGAAAAGGAAAAAACCAGTGGGTCAGAAGTAGATAAAGCAACAGCTGGTCCAAAGTAAACTAATGTCACTGTATAAGAGAAGAACTAAAATATCTGTAAATTCTTGAAGTTTTCATTTTAATTTCACAAATTAAGAATTTATCAAAACTGTTATAGGTTTTATTTTGACAACAATAATTAATTAATCCCAAACTAACATTCACTACAAGCCAGAAAGCAAAGTCAAACTCTTGTGAATGCTCATACATACTGTGTTATAAGCTTTCCTTGTACTTAGACCCGATGACTGAGAGCTTGATTGCCCTGAAAGGTTAAATGAAATACAGCATATTAAAGAATATTAGAAATTGTACATTCATCTGTACAAAAAAGAAATTACAAATGTTTTTCATCGTTAACACTGTAGCTATTGTCACTAAGCCACACACTTAAAAGTGCTGATATTAACATTCTCAAAGTGAACCCAACTAAACTGAAAAGTAATAACAGATTATTCTGTTATTTGAGCTGTTGAGTTAAGTTGTGAGAGAGAGATAGTGAGAGAGACAGTAGGAGAGAAGCAGACAGAGAAAAAAAGAAAGAGAGAGAGAAGCAGACAGAGAAAGAGAGAGAACGAGCAAACATCGCAAATACTTTGCTCAAGTAATTTCATTATAATACTCTCTCTATTGTGTAGATATATGGCAGCTGACATAATGTGTATGTTTAGTTGATAGCTTTTTCTCTGCCACAATTTGATTTCAAATGATATATTTTACTAAAGGATGTTTACATTTGTCACAACAAGAACAATTAAATTGATTTTCAAAGTTATTCAGCAAATGTAGGACAATTATACAGGGTTCATAGCCAAATTTACCAATCAATTTCAAGGCTTTTCAATGTCTCTTTAGTTTTTTCAAGGTTGTCTCGGTGTAATACTGAAACAATTTTTTTGCCTTGTTCAAGGGTGTACCGAGCACACAATGTACTTCATTCGTGCCACATGTGTTGGTATACTAGCACATATATCATCATCATCATGTAGCATTTCCTTTATCCTGAAATAAAAATCGGCCTCTCACCAGCTCTCTCGTCTCATGTACTTTTTTTATACACAAGGAGTCACTCATATCCTGTGCCCATCTTCGTGTTGGTCGGCCCCTGCGTTTGATATAGTGTTAGAAAATTTTTTTTAGGACTTGGTAAAGGGCACTGTCTGTTCTGGACATGGTACCTGAAAGGGTAAGGGGGAGAGAGAGAGACATGCAGAGAGGGAGGAAGACACATGCTGAGGAAGGCTGGGAGAGACAGTGTAAAGATGGACAGATGAAGGTAGAGGAAAGAAGAAAAACAAGTCTGGGGAAGGAGGAAAAAACAAGAGGGAGGGATGGAGACAAGGTGAGGGAAAGTGGGGAAGGGACAGCGAAAGACAGAGAGGGAGACAAATACAGAAAGAGGGAATGAAGATACAGAGATGGGCAGATGAAGAGAGAAGGAAGAAGGGAACGAAACAGAGATATGGAAGGAGGAAAATATGACAAAGATAGCTAAAGGAAGGGAGACAGAAGGAGAGAGAACGGACAGGGAGAGAATCAGATGCAAGCAGAGATAATTGTAGACATAAAGGAGAGAGAGACAGAGGGACAGCATAGAGAGGCAAGCAGACAGAGGGAGAGAACCAAAGAAAGAGAAAAAAGGCAGAGCAGAAAAATGGAAGGGAGGTATACAAAGAGGAAGTGATGAAGGGAGGCAAACAGACATAAAGCAAGAGAGAGAGAGAGAGAGAGAGAGAGAGAGAGAGAGAGAGAGAGAGAGAGAGAGAGAGAGAGAGAGAGAGAGAGAGGTGGGTAAGGAAGGCAGTGACAAACACAGATTAAGAGAGGGGGGCAGGAAGGGAGACAAGATACAGCTGAAACCCACCCCACCCCCCCCCCCCCCCCCCACACACACACACAATTTCAAGTGTAGTGGACACAATCACTAGGGAAAGATAGTTATGGGGCAAAAAACGTACTTACATGAACCAGGGGGGGAAATGGGGGGGGGGGGGGGGGGGGGGGGGGGAAGAGAATGAGAGAGGGGAGAGGGTTAGGAAATCTAGGGAAAATGAAAAGACAGGATAGGGGAGGCAAAGAAGAGATGAGACAGGAGAAAGAGCAAGAGAGAACAGAGCAAGAAAAGAAAGAGAGGAAGAATGAAGAGAGAAAGGAGAATAGTGGAAGATCAAAGGAAAGAGAAGGGGTGAGAGAAGAGAGGTAAGACACGGTTGTGTGTGTGTGTGGGGGGGGGGGGGGGGGGGGGTGGCGATAAGAACACTGAGCGCCAAAAATAGAATTAGGAAATCTCCGAGGCCACTTTTCCAGTTCCCACCCTCTTCCAATGTGAATGTGGCCGTGGTCCATAAACAACAGTGCTAACCCCTACTGCCCCCTGCTTGTCCTATCTGCATGTGACAACAATAGTTCAATTTCTTACACTTAAGGCTGGTGACCTGAGAGCCAAGGTCATTTTATGAAGAAAAAAGTCCAGGGGATCCCAACCCACCACCGGTGGAAAATAGAGCAGGTTACCCACACACACGCACACAGTCAGGGCATCAGTGGACTTGTTTTATTTCTGGTTTTTCAATTACAGAAAGGAGGGGAGAGGAGGTGGTGGAAGGTGGTGTAGAAGGCTGAGATGGTAAGGGTGAGACAGAGGAGGTGAGAAAGGTGAGAGAATAACGTTTAAGAAAATAAAGTGGGGACTGAGACTGGAATAGAAAGAAGGGAGTAAGAAATAAGATGAGATATAGAGGGAAGAAGGTAGCAGGAAGGGGTGCACCCCCCCCCCCCTATCGGGGGGATGGGGGGGAGGGGGAGGGCAAATGTGTTTTTAAAAGTACACATAGATTTAATGTGTGCGTGAGGGAGGGGGAGTGGTGGACATGACATTTTCTGCACTAGGCAACACAACCTTCTACGCCAACTGAAGATACGGAGAAAGAGAGAGAGAGAGTGGGGTGGGGGGGGGGGGGGGGGGGGGGGGGGGGGGAGAAAGCAGAAAATACAAAGAGAAAGAGAGAGGAAGGCAGTGACAGACAGGCAGAGAGTGAGGAACAGGTAGGACAAAATGTGAGGGGGCAGAAAGAGAGATGGACAGAGATTAAGGCCCACTAAGAAAACAAACACGTCAAAAGACAAGAGAAAGAGAAGAAGATGAAGATCAGAAGGGAGGGTTAGAGACAATGCAGGAGACGGGAAGGAAGGAGCAATAGGTAGAAGAGTGAAAGAGGGAGGAAAGAGAGAGAGAAAGGGGAAACAACAGAAGAGGGAATCTCGGGGAATTACAATACTGATCACCAAACACACTGTAAAAATAAAACCAGGCCAAAAATAGAACTGGGAAATCCAGCTGACGTCACTTTGCGGTCTTTAATTAATAGAGAAGGCTGTGCTTAGCCCCCACCACGACCAACTATTTATAAATACAACCCAACCGAGCCCCACCATATCCCAATGTAATCCTTTCTAGAAACCACGGCCATAAAACGATTTATACTATTATTAATTCTGCCGGACTCACTAGAAACAAAGGCACACGCACACTTGAGACGCCCCATGCAACGCCGCACGCATGTATTCATGGGCTGCAACACAGCCTGCCCTTCCCCTGGCTTTTAACAATCCATTTTGGCTGAAAATAGCCGATAATCAGGTGCCCTAATATCTGAAACGACCTTAAAGTAGCCAAAAAAAAAAAAAGCCAAATGGCCCCCAAAAATAGCCTAACTGCTGAAAATCACAGGACTTTTGACGTTCTCTTTGCGGCGGTCAAAATTTCTCAAGGTCAGAATGTCTTATTCACGGTCAAAATCACGGTTCCTTGTTGGATACAAAAATTCCCGGTAAATTTAAGGTTTCCCGGTCCACTACGAACCCTGATTATATACAAAATTTACCTCTGATTTCATTGCCTTTCTTGCTACCAGCTTCACTAAACTTTGAGCTAATACTGCTTGCTGGCGACAGAGGTTCATCTTTTATTGATGATTCTGTAAGCTCTGCTTCACTGGCCAAACTTCCAACGCTCCTTTTGACTGATGTATCTTCATCTTCATCTTGTGACTAAATAAAGAGAACAACAATGTTAACCACTTCACCCTGGCAAAGTGACTTTATGATGTCACAACAACAATATATTAAAAACAATTATTAAGCAAATATTATCAAATCCCCAAGTCTACACACTGTGCAGCTGCAACCAGCACCAAAGCTGTTTTACAGGCATAGTGGCTAATGCTTAAAGACACCACGTTATTTAAAAATCAGTAAATGCAGGGAAATGGATTCTCTCAGGGTAACAAGGTCAACCCTCACACCCAGAGAATGCTAAAAAAGAAATGAGCCACAAACAAAAGAGAATTTCCCAAAAAAAAAAAAAAAATCATTAAAAAAAGAGGAAAAAACCCCAACCATTTTATACAGGAAACACACATTTTTTTTTAAAAACACATTAATAACTTTTGTTGTTGAAATAAATAAATATATACATACACACACACATACATACAGTGTGTGTGTGTGTGTGTGTGTGTGTTATGTATCATATATTAATATTTAAATATATTTGTATAATTTGGTAATTTCTGCCTCAACCTATCTGGCCTGCTCTTTTAATTTCTAAGAGATTTTATACATTTTTTCCCACTGTCCAAGAAGATCAGATGTCTAATCCATTATCTACGAACCGTCTTGTTGCTTTTTTTTTTTTAATGTATCCAAAACTAACGTAGAGACTCTTGACAGAGTACAAAATAATGCCCTCTGATTAATCTGAGGAGCTATGTAGTCTACTCCAACTGCTGCATGTGAAATCCATACAGATGTGTAACCCCTCAGGTTGCGGAGAGAAAAAGCTACTTTAGAAATTTATGAAAGATGCGTTGGAATGAACCCTAACCATCCTAATAGACACCTTGTAGAAAACTAGGAATACAAACAAAGAATAAAGCACAAATTGGTTTTACACTGTGTTCATGAAATACAGGACAGATACCACCTCCCAGAAAGACGTCAAGGCATTCAGAATGTTGAAAGAAACTACCACCACATGCTCGCTTTAAAGCTCCAGAAGTCCGAAAAATTGGTACGAGAGAAAACCAAACAGTCCGACCCAATCGCTCTTATGAACTCATAACTAAAGACCATTGATTCTTACCCCCAAGAATGGATACATGTTTATACTGATGAATCTGCATTTAAAGCTACCATTAAGGCAGGTTACGGAATCTACATAGGTTATCCCGATGGATCTGTTGAAGAGCTTTTTGATGCATGCGGGGAATTCTGCTCAAATTATGAAGCCAAAATAACTGCACTGGAAACAGCAGTATACCACCTAAAGACTGTAATGGATGTTTACCCTTCCAATGCCCAAAATATTGTTATCTTCACAGATTCAATGTCTGCCCTTCAAGCTCTGGAGGGCAGTGAACGCTGCAGAACTGACATAGCCAGGATAATTCTGGATTTGATCAGCTTCTTACCTCATACAACATCAGAAAAGTGATGCAGTGGATTCCAGGCCACTCCGGCACACCAGTTAATGACAGAGCTGACAGATTGGCAAAGAAAGGAGCAACACAAGAACAACCACCTACAGAGACAACCCTACAGACAGCAAAATCACTTATAAGAGCTATAAACAAAGAGACTTGTTTGAACAGATGGGCCCTAGGAGACACTGGAAGAGAGGTTTATAGACATATGGCTGGCCCTGATCCTAATGACAGCATTAACCATCTAACAAGAAGGGACCAGGCCACCATCTTCAGACTTAGAACACAACATACTCACTCAGTGGACATCTAAGCAGAATACAACCACAACACCTCCCAGAGTGCCAGCTATGTAACTACCCCTATGAAATTGTTGAACACCATCTCTTTGAGTGCCCAAAACTCAGCGAGACTAGAAGAATGCTACTCCCCCCAAGACCAGACAAGTGGAACACCTTGTACGGAGGGAAAAAAACAGCCTGTGAAAACATGCAAATTCCACTACATGGCATTGGGCCAAAGGGCGAAAGCTCATGCACCGCTGGATCGATAACAACAACAGTAATTTGAATTACAAATTTAAGTGAACCGGATGCCACCTGCAGCCATAATAATTTTCAAGTAAAACTTGAAGTTATAGATAAAGCTCGAACGAAACCTGTATAGATTATGGTGTAATAAGTCCCAGTCATACTTAAAAAAAATAGTAATTGGAACAAAAGCTAAACAACAGAGGCAAAACAATATTAATTTTATTCTTTCACCTCATAATAATGAATGCTTACAGTAGCAGACCTTCAGTCTGTATTTTAGAAAGTGCAACATGGTTGCTTCAAGAGTAAGTGAAAGATGAAGGGAAACTACCACAGTGATTTAACAAGGACAGATTTGCAGTTAATCAATGTGTTAAATAAAACATTCAAGACTTCAGATTATTAGGCAGGAAACATAATACCAAGAAGGCCCATATTAACGGTATACAGTCAAACAAGTACGAGAATTCAAAAATCTAGGAAGCATATTTACGGAGGATGGCAGACCAGATACAGAGATAGAAGCCAGAGTACAGAAGACAAATGATGGCATCTACCAGTTAGCCCCACTGCTCAGACACCCAAATGTCTCCCTTTCAACAAAACAGAAAATGATTAATAGCATCTTATCCCTACTTTATGTTACCAGTGCCAAACATGGATAGTGAATAGGGCAACACAACAGAAAATTACTACATGTAAAATATACGGTCTGCACGGTCACTAACAACACTAGACGAGAGAAGGTTACGAATACCAGCATTAGAAAAAAAGTTGGAATAAGAACAGCTAAAGGGAAACAAAGAAAGAGATGGATAAATGGTGTAGCTGAATCCTGCAAAAAGATGTACAAATCCATCATTTAAGCCACCTGAGAAGTGGAAGACAAATACAGAAAACCATGACACTGGGCTACAACCTGGTATCAGTGAGACGACAAAGTAAGAAGAGGAAGAGTGACATCTTAGGCTGTTATGTCACTATATACGAACATAGGAATTACAAATTTAAGCAGATCTGTTGTTTTTAATCATTGGGATAAGGCAATGAAAGAACCAGTGAATGGTATTAAAAGGCCCCCCCCCCCCCCCAATGCAACATGGTTTTCTATAAACAATGACAAAAACAAACAGCAATTAGCTCACCTCTTTATCAAGCTCCTCTTTTATAGCATCTACTGTTTCCCCATTTTGACTATTTGAGGTAATGTTGAGCTCTTCTTGTTGCTCATTCTTTTCTACATCAATACTGTCCCTGGCACCTTTGGCCACATCTGCAAGTTCTCCAATAGCGACAGCAGAAGTCAGGATGTCACGTTCTATTGTGCAGCTTTGAGTACAACTGTCCTGGGGTAGACTGTTACACGATGCATCTAAAAGTATAATTAAAAAACCAAAAAAATATTACTGAGCATGCTTGAATAAGTCCTATTCAATGCAATATCTACAAACTACCTATGAAACTAAGAATGGCCTTTTCAACCATATTGACCTGAGGATCAAAATTTAGTTTTGCCATCTGGTACAAATCATCACACTGACTAGTTGCAGGGAGGCACATTTATTAGCTTTGGCATGGTTTGCGCTGAGTCTGAAGAGACCAGATAAGATTACATCTACTAAAGTTAGCAATAGACAGTATGAAGCATGACTACCTATACTGTGATGTAGTTATATGCTCCGCTGTATTTCGTAACCAGAATGTTAAGAGTTTTATCAATCGCAAAAAGAAAGAAAAAGATGGTAGTATTTATTTGTTGAAGCATCCTGTCCACAAGTCATCACTGATGATTCAGGTTGATATATGAAGGTGTATGCATAATTATCCTTAGCTGCCCAGAACAACAGGGTACCCTATGTAATACTTAGTGCAGCCATTATAGATGCTCCAATTATAATTTAAGGTTGAATGGGGTTTCCGGAATTTGTTGATACAATTGTTATATTAAAGTGAGAGACTGATTCCAATTTCCTGGAAATCAAGTGTTTGGGGCATTTTTTTCAAAATAAAAAATCAGAGACAGTAATTATAACTTCTTCAGAATGACCTGAAATTCCTCAGGAATCCTGGGTTCAGGCTATTTTTTCAAAATATAACCTTAGTGGTGAAAGTGTTAAGAGCACAGTTAAAAAGACTGCATAACTCAATAAGCTCTAGAACTACACAAAAATAATTTTTTTGAAAAGGAGCAGCCACTTAAGGAATATCTTAAATTTAATAATGGCTTCCCCTATGGCCGTGCTCGTTAGGCAGACGATCACATAGTGTGTGCTAGTTAGGCAGACGATCACATATTGTACCAGTTTTCATTGCTTAAAACAAACTACTTACCAGTTCAAACACATGATGGCAACATGTTTCACCTTTGGATGCCACAGAGAAATTAATGTGTTGGTTAGATACTGTGTAATTATAAACTGTTAGATGTTTTTTGCAATGCGCATACGTTAATGTTCTTAGCATCATGGGGTTTCTATATGTGAATATGGCCACCCTTGATTCTTTTGCACTGGAATACACAAGGATCAGAGAGATCCAGGGCTGTAGATGTCCGATCTCTCCCACAGTGGAGCAAACCAGTTGTTCTCCCTTGAGAGCTTGGTCTAGCCCTATGAGTACTTGTAGCTATAGGGTGAAAGGGGCACACTTAGGTTGTAAGTCCTTTGATCAGGAAAACCCTTCTACAATCAAAACCGTTGTGCATGAATAAAGAAGCACAAAACACAAGGAATCTAGAGGATACAACCTTGATTAAAAAAAAAAACCTAAATTTACGATGGACCTACGCGGCTACTGGCTGAATGGCTGTGGGATATACAGTCATTAAATGTGGAACGTCTGGTTAGTGGGTGGGGCGGCACCAGGCGTATGGACTCCTCTAGACATCCCCTGCCTCTTCCCTAGCAGGCAGGCAATATTAGGGTGATGGTTTACTTCCTGCACTGAAAGAATATTTTCTATGGATTTCTGCCTCAAGCAATCAAATGACACAAAGGAGTGGCGTAGCTGCTTCTCACACAAACTGTAGCTTAGTAACACACAGACAGTATGCAAAGAGTCAAACAAACGCAAGAAAAAAAAAAAAGATAAACTATTATAAATGGAAGTTCAACCAAGTCAATGTATGTTCAGAAAGCATTAATATTAGCCCTATCTGGAATAAAACCATTTGCCATGATCCTTAAATTAGGTAATAATGTTAACCGACAACTGAGTAGAATAGACTATACTAATCGGTGTCTGTGGCTTAGACCTTGCAAATGAGCTTTGTAATGCCGGGGTGCCAGGTTGGATCCCAGCTGCAGGCCTTGCGCTGGTTTCAACAGTGGAATAAAGAAGCTGACCATCCAGAAAGCAATGACAAACTACTGGATGTAAATTTGCCTTTAAAAAACCCTAACAGCCAAAAAATGCTGGGGTTGGTTCTGCAACGTCCTGTAAAGGATTCGCAACTAATTAACTAAATCATGTAGAAGTAGGTCTAGGGATTTCCCTTAACTGTCAATAACTTAAAAATGTGTGGAAATGAAGAAACAGGAGAAATTAATGCCCTAGAACAGCACATTGGGCTTACCCATAGATGCTCCATCTCCCACAGAAAATGTCTCAAGGTGTAGATGCTAACTGTTCTTGTAGCACACTAATTATGCACATGTAATTCTCTTCCTCTCATCCGTCCCTCCTTGCCGGATCCACACTTAATTCCTTGTTCACTCATTCTTGCACATTTCATTTCATCTAATCCTATGTCTTCTGTCAGCAGTCGTTCATATATGGTGAGCACATTCATTTCAACTGACTATAAAAATGTACAAATTTCAAATCATAAACAAACCTGTTAAATTACTTTCCTCAATGTCCATAATAACTGTCTCTTCTGCAGTGTCTTTCATTGCTGACTCGTGCTTTATAAGTGGGTTGGTAAAGGTGGTAAGGGACACATCAGTTGAAGATGATGTTAACTGAACAACAGTATTTGTAACATCAATTTGGCCTTTTGCTGTGGACAGCAACCGAGACAGAGTTGGAGCAGCTGTGAGGGAACAGAAACAAACAAACAAACAAGTACAGACTGTCTTGGGAACTAAAGACAGGTTCAAGCCAAACAGAATCATAATGCACCCAGAAAGCTAGTATACGTAAGAATTATGAACAATAAAATACACATTATTTGTAAATATGACATGTAAAAACTGTGAATACAAAGAAGTTTTCTGAGCAGAATGCAAACTGAAAATAAAGCTAACTTCTGTAAATACAATGCTGTCATATTATTCTCAGCTAAGAGAGTAAATTTATAATGTAATGTATATTATATTGCAGGAAACTGAATGTGAAAGAGAAAATGAAAAAATATACACAGACTTTCAACAAGAAACCAAAAAAACATATCTTCCCCAGGCACCAAAAGAGTCCACACCCCCCCCCCCCCCCCCCCCCCCCCCCCCCGACCAAATGTAAATAAAAATATTCTAATGCTCTAAGGCGTAATACATATATGGTGCCAGCTCCATATTAAACAAATCAATCAGAGATGCAGTAAATATCCTACTGGCTGCTTTTGTAGCACCAATGAGACTGGGTCAGTGTGGTAAATGATGTTTTTTTTTTTAATGTCCGCATTCATGAAGTTTTAAACACATGTCCACTAGGCTGGCAGGTAAAAAGTCCTAATGTTTAGTAGATATTAACTCTCTCAATTTAAATAATTTTAAAACTAAAGTATAGCAGGCAAACAACAGTAATAATATTAAATCAGGCATGGTGATGAGACAAAGGCTACTAGAATACAATAAGACTAGATGCAGAGGAAAAGTTATTGAGCACAAATGAAATATTAGACATAACCATCACTACTGTCTGTCTACTACTTTTTAGGGTGGTGGAGACAGGAGGGCCTTGAGCCTGAGGATTTAGAGCCCTGTAGCCAATGCTGTCACCACAGACTGTGCAGGTTAGGTTTTTTAATTTTGCTCCCAAAAGAAAAACTCAATCACCTAGCAGGGGTTGAACTCGGGTCTCCTAGATGAGAGCCCAACATTTTAACCAGAAAAAAAAAGCAATTGATATTATTGATCTAAGATGATTGAACACAATTATCAGGACCAATAGAAACGGACATTTTCTACCAATTACACCAAAAGTCCTCAGTAGTAGTCATTTTATGCAGTCTTAAAATAAATTAAAAATGAGCTGTAGTCGGCTAATATCAAAATCAAATTTTTAAAATATCACAGGACATTATGTTTCCTATTTTTTACCTGATCTTTTGATACAAGAAAATAATAATACTGGATGTCAGTACACATGATTTTAAATGAATAATTCTCTTCCAGAAGATTTGGAAAAATGTGATACTGACTACTCCTGTTGTGAACTATTAGCTGCATGTACAACCTGTTTGTTTCACCTGCAGTCACTGTGACCAGATTCAAACCTGAAGATTCCCCACTTAAAGTCTAAACCCTCTTGAACCGAAAAGCCTTTGGAGAAAACCTAAGAATTCTTAGACCTTCTCTCCCCCCCCCACCCCCCATAAATAACTAAAACATTTTTTAAATGCATTTATAAATATATTAAAATGTATTTCAATAACTAACTAAATAGCCGTAATTATTAAAAATAGATGCAGCAGAGAACTAAATAAGCAGTACAGAACTAAATAACTACAGACTTTTGGACCTAAACAAAATAATTTCTTCTTCTTGTTCACCAGCTGTAAACTCTGGCAGAAAGTTCTGGTTGTTCGTCCACTTCTGGACTGCAGTCCTGTTCCAGAACCTGAGTGTTGCGTGTGCATCCATTTTACAGATTTGACTTATTTGTATGCAGACTGTTGGTTCCTTGTCTCTCAGGCCTATGCACTCCGACTTCGAAGGAAGCTCCTAATTAGTCAGCTTTTACGAGATGCTTGTGGGCAGGCAGTGGGTCTATTCTTGTTTTTCCTGTAATAGGGCCCCGGAACCCACACTGGGAGCAAAATAATTAATAGAGAAACTTATACTGTAACCCTGATTACAACCCTTGGGGCCAGAGAGGTAATAAAGAATCACCATGCATCCACTGTGATTTACTGCCTGTAGTATATATCCACTGTCTATCTACAATGTACCAAATACAAATGTTTTTGAAGCTAGCATATAAGTGCTGTTTCTACAGAGGAAGCCATGCTTGATGCATGCTTTTTCCATGCTGTCATGCAAAGAAGAATGTACACATCAGTGTGGTCATCGAAGTCCCAGACATGCGGGGTGCTCCCTGCTGATCTTCGGAGTGTGCAGTCCTAACATAAAGATAAGAGGTAATGTAGTCATGCACATGACGATTCTCTGGGTGAGCACAGGAACACAGCGTCATGTGTCAGTTCTGCATTTATAGAGGCCTGGATGGCAGAGAATGCCCATGATCTGCCCCTGCCTTCCCTTGTAGGTCTACTAGTCTACACGCGGTTACCCTGGATGGGTTGTCCAGGGGCAACACCTATAGATAAGGCACAAAGAGCATTAACATTTAAATAAGGCTACGCCATGTCCCATGAAACTATTTAAGAAGTTAACGCAGTAAAAAAATGCTCAATGAAGCCTGATGTGTCAGCCGAAAGACACAAATATCTCAGCTTTGCTGTAAACAAACAAAATGTAATTATGTCCCTTGGACAAATTAAAAAAGGAGGAAGAAGAAACTGCTGTTAAAACTCTCTGACCAGGTTATAAATCCAATTTCTAGTAACTTCACATTCAAACTCTCCATCAGGGTAGTGTCAAAGCTTTCATTCAACTGCATGTCTACTGCTGGTAAGTTCTTCCTAACTTGTTCATTCACTATTCAAGATTCACTGACATTCATCAGATCAGGGCAAGAATAAATTGTATACAAATAAATGCCCAGAAGATAAGCTGAGAGCAGTGCAGCCTGAAATGTAATTACAACTTCAGAAAATAGAAAGTGATGTCCTGCGCTCAGAGTGGCTGACATCGCATGACAAGATGCAGGTAAGGAGCATATAATAGATTTTGTACATGATAATGAGCAGGCCAGCATCTAATCGGGGTCAGTTTTAGACACCCTAGAGTGGATGTTGTGTTAAACTAGTCTGAATGTGATAGTCTAGTTTAAGTGTGGTCTAGGAAGTTTGAAAACACTGTGACTGGTCTAGAAAACTGACAGTGGCTTGCTTTAGTGCTAGAAGAAAATGAGATCTCATGAACCGACTACAATGAAAGGGACAGTACCCAAGAATTACAGCAATCTCAGAAAACATTTACATGAGATCTGGAGTGAGACAGGAGCCAGTTCTATCCCCACTACTGTTCATCACATACGTCAACCAAATGTACAAATCAGCTAACACCATCGAAGGGGACAACATTGGAGACTTACTTAATGAATTGCTTTTCACCGATGACTAGGCAATCATAGCACTAACAGTAGTACAACTACAAGAACTAATATATAGAATCCACTCAGAATGCAACAACTATGATGTGAAGCTCAACGTAGACAAAATAGAAGTGATGACATTCTCCAGAAAAGGAAGAACTACCAATATAAAAATAGACAAACACCACGCGAAGGATTTTCATATTTAGGGAGCATTTTTTCAGAAGACAGAAGAATTAATAAATAAATCCAACAAAAGTGCAACAAACCCAATCAAGTTTTAGGCTAAATATCAACAATTTTGAAATGCAATTATGTGAATATGAACAACAAAAGAACACTGTTCAACACAATTTCTTTCCAACGCTGTGCTGTCTATGTCAAACATGGTTGCTGTCTTTAGATGACAGAAGGAAAATAGTCACAACAGAAATGAAATGTTTGCGTACTATGACTTAGGATGATGATATATATATATATATATAAAGAGGAGAGCTGGCAGAGAACCAATACTGAACTTTACAGGCACACTGATATGACTAATTATATATGCACTTGCACAGCTAAAGCTATACTAAGAATTCTGCAACAACAAGCACTTACTGCTGGATGGTGAAGTAGTAAGAGCATCATCTTGTGTTACAGGCACTTTCAGCACAGATATATGTGACTGTGATAAAACTGTCTGCTGATTGCCCCAAGAGTGCAGCTGTTGTAATTGCTCTTGCTGCTGAACTTCCTGCTCCTAAAAAATATTTATTTTTAAAGAACATTAACATCTACTAGAGCATTATCAACCCAAGCATACAAATTATAATTAATCAGGCGCCATCTCTATAGTGAAGGTTGGCTGGCATGTACACTTTGTCAGACTGATGTTAGCATATATCTTCAAGTTATCGTCCCATATATTGCTGTATGTCTTGCCTCTAATATTTCCCTCCAGTGTTTTTTTTATGGTCGTCTTAAAGTATTGGAGAGTCCTAAGAAATACCAATCTGGTTTCTAGACTCTGCAAATGGAAAACCCAAACTATATCTTCATGTAGCAGAGCAGGGCTTTTCAATTGTTTATTCAGGGGCCAACATTTTGAAAGTGGGAATTGTCACCGGCTTGAGGCCCAAGCCCCAGTACAAATAACCATTAATAAAATACAAGCAGCAATGATCCGCTGGCAACTTCCAGGGTGCCAGCAGCCACATTTGGCCTGCATGCCGCTAGCTGAATAGCCCTGTGGTAGTGGATGGTAAATATATTGTGGTGTGGCCAATGCAGACCAAGTATCCAGATCAAGATGAGACCCTCAGACCAGGCAGATCACAAACTGGGAAGAGTAAACGGAGACAGAGGATACAATAAACACCTTAGGTAGGAAACGATTGAGGTGGGAAAGGTGGCGAGAAACTTGAGTTCCTTTAAGGTTTGCTGTGATAACAGTGATGCTCTGCAAAAGACCTGCTACATAATGGTGAAGATGATTTTTAGAAAAAGTATTATATCACTTCTGTTTCTATTGAATTATTGAGTTATATATATATATATATATATGCATGAGTCCACCCAACACCACTTGGGTAATATTGTTTTAAATAGTTTACTGTTTTCTTTCCCTGCTACATTCTGGGTTTTTGCCTCAATACCAGCAATGTATTCTATCATCTTAAACAGGTGTTGCTAACTCTAAGCTGGAAACCTGTATGTAATGTGGATGAGTTTAGATTTAGGTTAAGCACAGGGCCTGTCTTGATCTTTGTTTCTACAGATGAGAAATATCAGCAAAGACCAGAACATCAAGCTGTTTTGTAGGGGTCCACTGAATTCCATTCCTGGGGTTAGCAGTTGCTGTCTTCATAGTTCAGTCTACTGCCAGTAAAAACAGGAAAGGTTAGAAAAGACACCTCTGTCGAATACGCTGTTATTTAAAATGTATATGTTAGCTTTCCCTCATAAATAACTCGTCATTTCATGTATTTATATGTTGCCTTTACTAAATTCTTAATTTTCTGTGAGATTCCATGTGCCCCATTAATTTCTACTATCAATGCAAAGTGGTGAATTTCTATTATTATATGTAATGTAGCTATCTGATCAGTGCAGGATCTGTTTGGTCGAAAACCTGCCCGCTATCTCTTAGCTCTTTTATCAATAGCATCTTTTACCTACTTTATATTTTTCCAGGAACTGATAGCAACATAGTTCCTCTATAATTTTCACACTTCTGTAGATAATTTTTTAAAATGCTTTCCCAATACCTCCACCCAGGAGGACGTCACAGGACAGTCCAATATTTTCAAGGGTGGTAAGCGTGCGTTTTCCGGCTTTCTGAAGCTTTTAACTACCCCAAGACATCTAGAGCGATGTAGACCTGGCAGAGATGGCCGACTGTTTTAACCAGAGCATTAAGACAGCATCAGTACCGCAGGACTGGGTGCACAGCTATCTATTCCCACTACCAAAACCTTTTAAAGATCATTCTAAGCTCAGTAGCTTTAGAATCATCACCTTCTGCTAGGATACCATTTGGGCCTGCCACCTCTCCTTCCTTCAGAAGACTGATAGCTTTCCTAATTTCTTCTAAAGATGGTATCTCACAGTTGATATCCAGTTCCTTTTTCAATTGCTGGGTATCTGGAGGAACCTTTGGGCCTGGTTTGGGCCCAGTCTTTTCAGAAGTATTTTCAAAATATTCCATTTCATCTTTAGTGTTGATGAGTACTTTTCCTTGACTATTTCTGATTAAGTTGGCTGACTATTTACCTACTAATTTCTTTGTGTTACTCTAAATGTCTCTGAGGTTTCCTTTGCTGCTGCTGTCTCCACTTCTTGTGCTAGGTCATCTAAGTATTTCCCTTTATCTGAAATTATACGCCTCCTAGCTCTAGCTTTAGTGGCTCTAGTTTTGCTATTGCTGAAGTCTGTTTTTTACTTTTACTTTCTCTGATCATTTTAATGATTCTGGCATTATGCTTTTCATTCGGGTACCGTTGTGTAGCACCAGTATTGTGAATTTTCCCTTTGACGCAATTTTTCCATTTAGCACTAGCTTAGCTGGCTTTTTTAAACTTGGCAGGGAGAAACCCGTACATGCTGTCTTCACTTCACTTATATTTACTAGTCATGTTTTTTTATCATTCCTCTGACACAATAAGGCTTGCTGTATCCTGTTGTTAGCTATACTAATGTATTTTTCAGAAGTCCATACAGTCAAGTCATCTATAAAAGAAGTACAACTGTCGTTGGACAATTTTTTAAAATAGTATTTATATAAGCTAGGAACAATTTTGGTGACAGTACACCCCTTTGTGAGAAAAACTGCTCTCACTTCATTCTGTTGCTTATTTGCCTTTTGTCCTGGCAGTTCTGTTCTCATGTTAGTTGACTGATCCATGTGCGTACATTTGGCCACAAACATGAAATATGTGTAGTTTAGCTTTCAGTCCCTTCTTCCAATCTTTGTTACATGCCTTTTCTAAATCCCCTTCTGATTTACTGATCAACAAATGTTCTTGAAGAGGAGAGATGACATCACACATCTCTGTCTTACACCTGTCTTTACTGGGAAAGATGTATTGTAATTTTTTATACTGCAGAAAAGTCTTTATAGAAGAGAGCAATTATGTTGACTATTTTTTCTGGAATTCCAAAATGTCATAGAATTTTCCATAGACTGTCTCTATGGACGCTGTCAAGAGCTTTCTCAAAGTTCACAAAATTTATATATATACTTCTCTGCAATTCAATGCATTGTTCTAAAATGTTACGTATGGCGAAGATGTGTTCAGTTAAAGGTCCCATGACTGTATGCAACGTAGGTCTTCCTAAACAGCAAACAAGAAAACACCAACAATATCTGCATCAGCCCGACTGCGCCAACACACAGAAAAATGCACACCAAAACAAACAGCACAAGAAGCACACAAAACTGCACGGCAAATGAAATGCCAAATTACGACACAATACAACACCCCCCTGAAATATTAGACTGTCCCACGACCTGCGGATTTCTTGTGTTTGTGGTGAATTATTGGGAGAGAACTGCAAACACTAGCAAATATCTTTTCATAGTGTTAAGTGGTCAGCCAGTTATAGTTTATAAGCCACCTTTTACAATTTTCTTGTAACCCCAATACCCAGTCCATTAGCAGTTATTCTGTTATTCCATCTTCCCTGATGATTCATTTTCAAGAAACTCAATGCCTGCTCCCACTCTTCCATTTGCTTTTTATTTTTTTTTCATTTTCCATCATATGTTTTGACATCTCTGTGCTTTTGTGACATTTCTGTTGATAATTCAATGCTAGTTGTGTTCTGATGTGGTTGGCACAAGCATAGTATGTTGTTACATTTTTTTAAAATAATATTTTTTTTTTTTATTAGTGGGTCCTTCATATTCTTAGCATTTACCAGTTTCAACAGTTCTTACCACCCCTGTCTAAATTCAAGGTGTCTTTTTTGTCATCCTCACCTTGATTTAATATTCTCATGTTCTGAGATGGCTTTGAGTGAATTGTTCACTGCAGTTGTTTGTTCTCTCTTTATCTTTGCTGTCTTCCAGGCGTCTCTGACTTTGACCTCCAGAATTTATAGTTTAGTTATGAGATAAAATATTAATGATTGCAGCATTTTTTTGATGTTCTTACTGTACACACTGAGCCATTAAGATTAAGCTTAAATTATTTTAAAAAAAACCAATATGTTCATCTCGGAAACATAAAGGAATAAATACCTCAATGTAACATCCAAGTAAACAGAAACATTCTCAAATAGGTAAACTGGAATAACTATTTGGAACAGCCATTACTGAACTACAAGATGTCTTGAGGAAACCAGAACAGAAATCAGGATGACAAATAAATCAATTAGGGTCACTGCCTTTTGCTTAGAGATCTTATTTTGTTGATCCACTTACAGCTTACCTTTGCTGTAAATGTTTTGAGGACAAATGTAAGGTGCAACTGTGGCTGAGAAATGCAGAGTATGTATATCCATAATGAAGGTGGTTTATAAGCAATGGTGGGGTATGTGATGGTGAAGATCATGTTGAGAAACAAAGGTTCTAAGTACAAGAAAAAGCTGTATTCATATCCCATTCATTCTCTTTTTATTTGATTTCTTATTTTGGGGGTTAAGGGTAGAATATTTACACCCCCCCCCCCCCCCAACTTTACATCTATCCCTTTGAAGAAGAAAGCACCTATATTGTTTTGAACAGAAAAAAAAAATGCTCACATGTTTGAGTCGCTGAAGTTCTGTAGCTGTTTTGACATCACTTTTTAATAATTGTAGAAGATGTGATGCTGATAATTTGTCTGCTGCTGACACGATAGGTGGAGGTGTATGGAATGGTGAACTACCCAAATGAGTGCCTTCTTCATCTGTCAACTGAGAAATACAAAGATTAAAAATTATGTCCAATGTGCAGAAAAGAAAATTCAAAAGTGAAAGTGTAAAAATGAATTAAATGCTATATTAAAAATCTGCTTAAAAAAATGCAAGGTGAGAGGCCAAGAAAAAGAATCATGACTTTCCTAGAGGTTTTAAATCCAAATCCTCTTCAAGTAGTCTCCAAGTTGGCCCACCATTATTGAAAACATTTCAGGAAGGCCCTTTGGGAATGGAGTAAATTTTAGCTGTCACTTTAAGCACGTCTTCTCATGACTCAAACCACGTCCTTTTCAGCACTCTCTAATAGACCCAGAGATAAACACATTGAAAAAATATAATCTATGAGCAAAAAATATAGCCTAGTAAAAGTGGAACTGCCGTAGCATTCTGATTTGTGCTTTTGTCAGCTGACATAGTGATCCTGGTTTAAATCCCTTTTGAAGCAATTTTTCTCACATGACCACACAGTTCTGTGATTGATAGAGCAGAATTACAAGTTTGGTACTAAAAAATATGTTAGCAAGCAAGCTTGGCAGCTATTATGCTCAGCAGATAATCCTCTGTGTTCTACATGGTCCAAACAAAAAATCAATCACTTTCTTACAATGTCAAAAGGATAATTTAATCTGATTTGTGAAAATAGCAACATAAAGGGTAGCCCTAACCAAACATCATATATTGTGGGCTATAAAAGAAAAACATGTGTAGGTGACCCTTATATTGTATTGCTATTCAAAGTAAAAGGGTATGAACATGGTTCACAACTCAGCAATACCCCTTCTATTAACCTCTAGGTGGCTTGGCAACAGAGCGCTCTGCACTAATTTTGTCAGTGGTATAGTGTCAACTGCTTCAAAGGCAGTGGCAAACTACTGAAGATAATACTGCCTAGTAAAACTACAAATGGTCAACCAATGCTGGGGTTGGTTTGCAACAACCTGTACAAGATATGCAACTAATTTTAACTATACCCAAGTTTCACTGATTGAAGACAGGATTCAGTTTTAGCATAATCCTCTAGTCCCATTCTGTATTTGCATTGAAGGCTCAAATACCTGAAAAGAACTATAGATTTAAAGAGGTTTTAAGATTCCGGTATGCGAGAACATTAACCATTTTTTTTTAGCAAACACATCCTAACTGTAAAATATAAAGTTCTTACTACAGAGATCTCTCCAACAGAATCTTGAGTGCTCTCATCAACATCACCAACAGGCATTGAAGAGTCCAACATTTCTGCAGCTAAAATGATTCACAAACAATTATATCATTACACTTGTTACCTAAAGTTTAGAGAATAATATTTGTCACATTAAACCACCTTTCCTTCCAACCCGTATTTATGTAAAGGTATAAATAAGAAAACATTTCATGAATGGTAACTTTCAATGCAACAATACAAAAATGAAGATTTTGAAGAAACAATTTTTGAATAAATTGGAGCAAAACATCTAGAGACAATACAAGAGCAAGAAAATGACAAAATGCCTAATTAACCGAATGACTAACTAGGATACCATTAAATGTATTTTTTTTAAACAGATGTTTTCTTCATGAAAGCTGCATTACATTTCATGCAAATGTTTAATAGCGACCAGGAGTAACAGAATTTAAATTAAAGGTATACTTTGCTGGTTTCATTCGATGCATGCATATAGAAAACTAAATAAGATCACCTGAGAAAAACAGAAATTCCCATATAAAAGCATTATTATTATTATCATGTAGCACAGCGTTTACAACTCTCTCAATCTTACTGAACTGAAAAGACAATATTTCACCAATTGCCCGGAGTCTTAAATGCTCTATGTCCACTGATGGGTTGCTCAACTTGAACACTTCCCCCCCAGGAATCCCCCCCCCCCCCCTTAATTTTCTTTCTGTTCACTGCGACAATGAATTCACTTAAAATGGGAAAGTATCTTCTCAAATATTTTGGTCATATCAAGTGCCACGACGGATTTGGAAAAGAATAGCAGAAGGCATGGTACCAAGAAGGAGGGGCAGGGGCGGACCAACACGAAGATGGGCACAGGATATAAGTGACTCCTTGAGTATGAAAGTACAAGAGGTGGGAGAGCTTGCAAGAGACCGAGTTTCTTTCAGGCAGACTGTGATGAGTGCGACGTTCTGCAAAGGACCTACTACATTATGATCTTTTTAACAGTTTTATAATTTACAAACTGATCAGTTAAATGGTAATTTAATTTCTATGTCAATATTACTACCTTCTCCCTGGAGGACTAAAACATTTAAGCACTAGTATATGTCACTTCAAAAATGCCTTACAGAAATTAAAACGTTCAAAACAATAAAGTGATTCGAAATAATAAAGTAGCTTGTCAACTTAAGAAACTTGCCTACGATTTTATTTTCATAATACTCATCTTCAACCTTAACTTCAACTTTCTCTTGTGCTTCTGCATTTCTCTGTTCTCTGTAATACATATTTTAAAATTAATGGCAAACATATATCAGTAGTGTTTCAGTTTCACATCACATAAATGGCGTAAGGTTTCTACATTTACATTAGTCTATATTTATTCATATGTACTTTGTATTAAAGCTCAACCATATTCAATTAAAACTAATTTTGTAACAAGTTTTCCCAGCCATAAGTAATTTAAGTGTTTACCTACTGCAATGTCTACAATAATCTGCATTCTAGTGGGTCTTCAGTATATGTTCTGAGGAATATTACTTTTGCACCTAATATTCATGGTTAAGGACTGTACACTTGAATCATGCCAATTATAACACCTGGATGCTCCTGACCACAATTTTTTTGCGGAGAATACTTATCCGGCAGGTGACTTCTGTATAATTCCCTATGCTTGCATTGTTTCTCATCATCACTTAACATTTGGCTGTGAATCTTCTTCTTTTGCTGTCATACTGTTACTGGGTTATAGCCTTGTGATGTAGTTTTCTATATCTGTCTTGTGCTTTACTAATGGCTAGAGTGATGGATTTGTGCATCTATTGACATGATCCAGCTACATTGTCTATCCATCACTTCCCTACTTTCACTTCTGCCCAGATATTCTGTATTTCAAACAGCTTAATTCTCTCTTGGCAAAGGCCTTTCGACTTGGTTCTCGAACACTCACAGCCTATACACCTTTGCCAGGCATAAGCATATGCAGTATAGACGCAGAAAAACAGACAAGGTTAAATATCTTGACAGGACATCTGACAGATCAGCGCGGCTCCACCAGATCAGCCAATCATCAGATAGTATTGATACCTGCACAATACAGTATATGCTGGTCCCTTGGAGGATAGGCAGAGCGAGAGGACTTCTCCGCAATTGTCACCAGATATTGATACCTGCACAATACAGTACCTGCTGGTCCCTTTGAGGATAGGCAGAGCGAGAGGACTTCTCCGCAATTGTCATCAAATAGGACTGAAACCTACATAACACAATACAAAGTATTTGCCAGAGTGAGACGCCTTCTCCGCAAGCACCATGTCTCGGAGAAACAAACCTAACGGAAGGCGCAATGGACAGAGGAAACAACCCACTGACCGATCTAACCGATCTAACTCGGAGGCCAGGAAGACGCAGACAGTTACTACCGAATCACAGGAAGACGCCCCTACTACCAGTGAGGCCCTGAGTGACGTTCCAGCATCACCTGAACCAACACAGCCAACTCCACAAACATCTCCAGATCGACGAAAGACAGGCAGCTATGAATTTCCTGCCACAATATTCCTACGACAGACCAGCTCGGGCCGGACAGCAATCACTACACTGGCAACGCTAACATTGATCAATATGCTGGAGATCATATTAGGCAAGAGGGCAGTCGCAAAGATTAGGAGAACTCGAGAAGGAGTGATAGCTTCACTAAACAGAACCAACCGCACCTCAGACATGCTGGATGACATCCAACACGACGGCAAGAAAGAACTCCGACTATCCGAGGAGATAACTGTGACGGCCACAATCTTCCAGAAGGTAAGACGATGGGTGATCCGAAGAGTCAACCTGCAATGGAGCAACGAAGAAATTCTGCAACAAATAAGGAAAGAAAACCCCAATGTCAACATCAACCAAGCAGAGAGAATGGGCTCAAAACGGCATCCATTGCAGTGGCGGTGATAACATCGGAAGGAGAACACATCCCGGATAAAGTTTACCTAGATCAAAGAATGCAAAGACCAGAGCAATACGTGCCACAGGTGATCCAGTGCTCTCGTTGCCAAAAAGCATGGCACTCCCGGGCCACTTGTGTGAGCGAACATGAAGTATGTCGATACTGTTCACAACCCCATGCCTTCAACAATTGCCCGCTGGCAAAGCTGGACACAGACTTTAGGTCTCCCAATACGAACAGGAAGTGCGCCAACTGCTACGGCCAACATAGCACCAGGTACCTGGGGTGCCCCTATCTGCAACAATGTAGAGAAATAGCAACCACGGCCATACGGGAAAAGATTCCATACCATGAGGCCCGCAGAAGACACGAAGCAACCCAAGGCATAACTGCAGCCGTTACCACCAAACTGAGCAACGAGGTGGCTCAACTCAAAAGTGACATCCAAGCTCTCAGAGACGAGAAAGACGCATCCAAATCACAACGAGATGAAGACAGAGATGAAATAACAGGCCTGAGAGCTATAATGCAGGCGACTCTTGATACCCAGAAACGGATGACAGCAGAGATGACGAAATTCAAGGAGGACATCATGAATGCACTGGCCACTATCCAGACACAAAAGGAACAACCAACTAAAGCAAGGGAAGACGTGGCGGGCATCAATGATCTGCGGGATAACCAACAACTTCTCGCGAAAGAAGTCGCAATGATCAAGAAGGCACTAGCTGAAACAGAGGAAAAGTTACGAAGAGCATACGAAGAAAACAACAGACTTGGTAAGGAACTGCAAGCAACCAACAGAGTGATGGAAGAAAGAGAGAAAGCACGGAAAGAGGCAACAAGAAGGCAGCAAATACAGGGAGCCGAGACCCAGAAAAAGCCACAGCAAACACCAGATAAGAGAAATCCGACGCCGCTGATGAAACAGTTTCCGGTGGCAACAATTGACCAAATAAACGAACGCATCAAGGAGCTTGAGGACCCGAACTTCTAAAACTCAGAACTGCAAGATGATGACGTTCTTTGGTCATTACCAGAGGAACCATATCGACAGCCAAAACCTGAAATCAAACGAGGTCGACACCGTTATCTCAAACACTAATACCAGATATGACACAACTAAGGCCAAAATTACCGAAACCCTATGTAGGAGCAGTACTTTACAACAAGGATACGAGAAAATCACCAAATAATACCAGACCTCAGCAATGTTGCCATCAGTACCTGATCAAGTCAATCGACCGCCGGTCCTTATTAGGATAGGCAATTTGCTTTCCCCGGAAACAACAAACAGCCAAGGAATACCACAATAAATCGATTCAACATCCAATCATCTTGAGCGCAGCACAGGGCCAGCCAAATTACACATACAACAGCAAGAGCGGAAACCACAACAAATAGAAAGTGACAATATTGAACACAATCCAAAATCAAATGAGATCGAGACCAGAAAACGTCACCACAAATATAGCTGAAAGGAAAGTGAGCAGAAATGTGAACGGACCTAGCTGAAAGTGGTCAACGAAAGAGAATTTGAATTTGAATCTGACAGATGCTGATCATACAAATATCATGTAGACAATGCTGTACTCAAAGTGAGGAAAGAATAAAGATGATATCAGCAGCCGATGTTGAGCAATGCTTACTTTTCCTCTATCAGAGCCTTATGTTAACTGTCATAAATTAGGGCCTCCTCACTGTCAGCACAACCCAACTAGAGAGATTAGAACCAATCTAAGAGGCTATGAGACTCATACTCAGCTGCACTAAAACATCTTATATCAAGACATGCAGCATGTCCTGGGTTTGTCGACAATGGTCATCAGATACAAAGTCGCACAGATGAAAGCATACCTGAAAATATCAGGAAAATCAACCACCCACTGCACAATGCTTTTGATGATGAAAAACGCAAGTGTCTGAAAAGAGGGTGCTTCTGAATAGCAGAGGCTGTAACTATAATCCAGCAGGTATTTGGTCTGGACAAGGTCATTAGTGCAGATGCTTTGTTAGTGTGCACCCACCAAAACATCCATAAACCAAATTCAAATTAGTCAACCAAGGCCACGCACGCATGGCAAAACAGCAAAAATACTTCATTAGTCGAAAAATTCTGAGGTATCACCGTATTTGTTTGACTTTAGTACCATTGACAAAAACGGTCATGTTATTTTGTTTTATACCTCAGATTTTGTAGCGTTTATTTTAATCTCACATTTTGTACACACGGAGTCAAAATGGTGTAGCAGGTTATATACATGTTGGTGTATTAGGCACTGATCATCTGAAAAAAAAAAGCAGTTGATTTCTTCGGCTTTTATGTGCTCCTTGAGTAATTCTCTCTAAAATAGGCATTTCTTCTTTTCCTTTACTGGCTGCAAGCTCCAGAGGTAAGTCCTGATTGTACGTCCATTTTGGGACCCTTGTTTTGTTCTAGCACTTGAATTTTTGCATGCACTTCCATTTTACAGATCTGACTATCTATGTGCAGACTATTGGTGCCTAGCCTCTCAGGCATATGCACACAGCCTTAGAAGGAAACGATACTATTTATGTTCGTCATGCCGCTAGCTAGGAACATGTTTCTATGATGACTGCGGAGAGGTGTAGATAAGTCCTGACCAGAACGAGGCCTGGTCCAGGTGCACCATAATGTGTGATTCAGTCCATCTGCATCACTATAGGTAACAAAGAGCAATGGTGAGAAGACAGTTGTCTTATACCCAATATCTGGGCTATGAATCATGGACAAACAGCAAAAATCACCTGAGGCCGCAGAGCTGAAGTTTTACAGAAAAATTCTTTGGAAAGCCAATGGCATAATCTAACTGCTAAACATTCCAAAACAGGCTAAAACATAGAGACAAACTGTCACAAACATGAGTCAGAGGCAATTATCTTTTTTTTGGGGCAACATTAGGAATATATACAAATGGTAACATATATTTATCAAAAGGAAATAGAGGAAGATAACAAGAAATGATTGCTGACAGTATTTTATCTTAACACAGAAAGGTGTCAGCACACAAAGTGAAACATGCTTTCAGTCTGCCAGATGTGGAAAAGCATGATTGCCAATACTAAATGACAAGGCATCTGATGAGGCATAGAATATTTATGAGAGGTTGAGAATTAAATTTACCTGCAGTGTAAGAATGTTAAAGGGGAGAAAAACAATATACAGTGGTCAGATAGAAAAAACAAGACTATAGAAAAAAATCCACTGACTGACATCACTACAATATATTCAGAAGGAGCCATCCTAACAAACAAACAAAAAACAGACGGCTGATCACTTTGCAGATTTATTTGCTGAAGACAGCAACACTGATGTCAGTCCACAGAAACAGTGAAAGGTTCGAGAGAAACAACACTCAAGACACAACGATATAATTCATGTGGTAACTGAGGCACCACTTGCGTTTAGCGAATTAGAGTTAGCAAGATCTAAGCTGAAAATGGGAAAGTCGCTTGGAATTAATGGAATAACAAACGAAATGATCAAGAACCTAGGGACAACAGCCAAAACAAAACTGCTGCAGATTTTTAAAATTGTTGGGGAAGTGGCAAAGTTCAACAGATATAGAAAGAAGCAATCATGATACCTCTTCTACACCAGGAAAAGACAGTACTAATGCCTCTAGTTATAGACCAATCACCCTTACCAGCAGTCTCTGTAAAACAATGGAACACATTGTCAACCTTAGACTTCAATGGTACATAGAAAGTGAAAACATCTTCACGCCGCAGCAGGCAGGCTTTAGACAATGCTACTCTACAGAAGACCAGACAACTTACATCTCTCAACCTTTTGAAAGAGGATTATAAGTTGTCAATACACATCTAGACAGAAGTGAAAGGATTATTCAACAAGGAAGAACAAAACTGTGCTGTATGCAAACTAAAACAGCCACCATTGCTCTACTTGATAACAAATACCCACATCATCTTTAGGTTCGTGTCTATATGGAAGGATAAGCACAAACTGCAAGCAGAATTGGAGAAGCAGGAGTGTATATTGAGCATCCAAATAATACCAGAAATACAGCCAAAATAGGGTTTAAGGTAGCTATGCAATGCACACCATTCCACTGTGGAGTTTCCGGAAATGAAAGAGCTGATAATCTAGCTAAGGACGGTGCAAATGAAGAACAACCTGTGGTACGAGTCTCTTATCAGCAAAAGAAGAGAATAATCAATCAGAAAGCCACCAAAACCATAGAACAGGACACAATCGACTTCGCAGCCACGTACACAAAATTTAAAATCGGCGAATCAGCCATATGCACATGTGGATTGGCAACTGAGACAATAGATCATGTCCCCCAAGACTGTTCCAAATACAACATATCAAGGCAAAACTGTTAGCACAGAGAAACATCGGTGCAAGTCAAACTTAACGGCTGGCTGAGTGAATTACAAAAGACAGTGAAGTCCATACTAGAGATAACATTGCAGATATAGATAATCTATTTCAAGCGAACGAAAGAAGAACATCAATTTTAATATAATGTCTTAAATATTTTGTTGTAGAGGAAGGGAAATTACAAACTGTAAATCGTTAAAATCCTGAACTTGTACTTATGACCATGTGGGTTCTTTTCAACTCATACAAAACATACATAAACACTACAACTGTGATTTTTTCAAAACAGTATTTACCTTTGATCTGATAACTCATTTATTTTAACTGTGTTCTAAGAAAGTGAAATCATAAATGGAAAACTTAAATTATATGAATAAATAAATATATGATGGCTCCTACTGATGAACGGTTAGCTTTTGAAAAAGACGTGTAATATTACTTTCTAACAGACAAAAATATTACTTTCTAACAGACAAAATAATAACTGTAATAAAGATCATTACATATGACTTACTCTTGAATTTCCTGCCAAACTTGTTCAATGTGGTCATCCCAAATGCCTGCTTTAATAAACTCAACATCGGATTTCATTTGCCTTTTAGAAAATATGAAATAAAGGTTCGTTAAATTACAACGCTAGTTTCTTAATCCCCATGAAAGACATGGGAAAAGTGTGAGGTTGAACAGAGAGTGACAGAGTGATAAAAAAAGTTATTTAGGGAAGGAAGGATATAACAGAAAAGAGAAAGAAAAACAGGAAAACGGAGTCAAAAAAAAAAGTGAGGAAGAAAACGGATAGATGAGGCAAAAGAAAGGTAAAGAAAGACAGAGGAGAGAAATGGATATTTACAGAGAGCAGGAGGTGCAGAAAGAGAAAAAAAAAGAGGGTGTAGAGTGACAGAGCAACAGACAAGGTCAGTGAGGGAGAAATAACAAGAAGAAACCATATCAATTAAAGTAAATAACACAGGAATAATCGTATGTAAACTATGATAGCTGAAAGTAAGATACCAAGATGGTCATAATAGCAATGCGGGTTAGTAGACTCACTCACCTACTAGAGATGGTATGTTCAAAACTCCCTCCCCAAGAACAGTCCAGAATTCTCCAATGCATATATAATATCATTAATGTTTCATTTATTAGAAAAATAGCTGAACATTTCAAAAACAGAATAAATGTAGCAAGTAACATTGTGTTTATAAAAATTAGGTGCGAGTGCTCGTAATTGTACCTGTATGTAAATATCTACATGTTTATAAAGACAGACAAGCATGTGAAAAATATTTCAGCAATACCAAAAGTGTTATTATTTGTAAATAAAGTTTGACAAAGAAACTAACTATTGAATTTATTTTTAAATGAATCAAAGAAAACAAATGGGTACATACTTGAATTTCTGTTGCATCTCCAAGATCTCTTTTTTTAACTGTTCACTTCTTTCTATTGTCATCCTTCTCATAATCTGAAGGCTTGGGGTGTCTGATTCAGATTTTTCTCCACCTCTTTTCCTTCTGAAATTTTTTTTTAACAATTTATTTTCAGTAAATCAGAAGACAGACACTGATTTAATTTTGTGTGTGTGTGTATTTTATGCTCAACTTCTAATATAAAAAAATGTGTGCTGTCATATAAACTAGCTGCTGAGTAAGCATAGGTTATACTGTCTGTTATATCATTATCAAGCATTACTGTAACTAATCGATTCATTATTCTATGAATAGGAAGCAAGAAATGTAAATTCAGTTTACAATAGTCAAGTTTTTTTCTCCAGAAATTAGGTACAAAAACTCTTATTGATTTTGACATGCCGATTTTAAACATCGTAATAAAATTTACCAGTTGGCTTTTTTTAAAATAATGAATTTACATCACAGTAATAAAAATAATGTATGTTTCGTTGAAACTCTCTTGTGAGAACAGTTACTGTTTCTATTTTAGCATTATAAAAATTGTAATTACATACCCAATTAATGGATATTTCAACACAAAACCATATAAAAAATAAAAACATTATTTAAAGTTCATCTATAATTGTTTCAAAAAGAACTAATTATGTTATTAACACTCTTTGTTTGTTGGTCAATTGATAAGGTGTCTCTTGTCACAGTCCAGCAGCAATCAACAAGCTCTGAAGGACTCTAAACTGCCGTGATACCTTGTAACCATAGCAGCGATGTCCTGGTAAAGTCAGTGAACATGTTCATCCCTGACAGCTCAAAAGTTAGACGTAAATAAATCCAGATGAGAATCCAGAAAAAGAATGTTTAAAGACATGTTTTAGCCAAGACTACTTTACAAGGACATTTTCTACAGCCTCATTGTAATTATCAGATCTGTTGTTGTGAAGAAAAATTTCCAACACTGACTTAAATGCTAGCCATGCTGCTTTTACTCTGCCCAACAATACACAATGAAACATCATCACAAAGAAGTTTTTGATTTAGCTGACCAACAAACACTCTCTCTCTTATTTTATCTTTACCCAGTCTTGGGAATTTTCTGATGAGGTGTTTGAAAACATCAACTTGTGTTTTTTTTTGTTCATTTTCCTGTGATTTCTATATAAAGAAATGTTGATATCTTCTGCCAGGAGATTCCACAATCTAGAACTCAAAAAGCTCTGCCTTGATCATCAGTAAATTCAGATTTCTTACAAGATTATTCACTCCGGGTTAATAAGTGTGGTTCAGTGGATGTAGTTTGTTAAACATCTCGATCACCTGAGGCTGAGGGCCACCAATGCACTCTTCTTCAGTGTAAGCAGCTGAAAATGATTCCGACACTTTAGGAACTTGTAGGTCATCGCCATGTGGTATCGAAAACATTGCAGAGGGAATGTTTGAAAATTCAAGGGTCCATTATGTCTTTTTTTTGTATGCCTTTCCAAAATGGGGCCATGCAAAAGTAACATTTGTCAAGATGATCAGTGGACTCCTTCTAAATCACTGGGACTGCAAAAGGCATAGCTTATTTGTGCCTGCTGTTCACACATGACCCAGGCATTTCTAATTATGACAATTTTAATAAGGACAAATACACTAACTAATGGCACAAATTTTATCACAGATAAATTATTTATAATAAACAAACAGTGATGTAATCATCGGTAGGATTGAATCACAAACTTCTAGTTACATCTGTCAATGGAAACAATTATGCAATTGACCACAACTGTTGTGTCTTAGATTTGAACTTACCATAATTAAATCAAATAGTAGCATATCTTGAAAACTATAGCCAATCAACATTTTAAAATGAATTTTCATTTTCAGTGCAACAAAATTAATTAAATCAGATATTTTCATGTCTGAAACAGTTTGGTTCTTAACTAGTGTAATAAGTAAGAAGAGTTTTCTGAGCAAAATATCACGAAGTAAAACAGCATTTTACTAGGTAACAACCTGACATGGAATATAAAATAAACACAAAGCCTGTCATATCTGCTGCTAATTAGATACCCTCAGTATATGACATGTAAATGCAGATGAATATCCACCTTACCAGACACACTCATAACAGTGTATATAATCTACATGTAGTTCATAGTTATAAGGCAAGGAACAATCACACTTCTACATTTTCATGTATCTCTCTAGTGACAACATATTCCAGTTTTTATATTAATAAAAATGTTAATTTTCCAAGTCTGTTACCTATAGACTCGGAAACTACTAAATCGATTGCTTTAAAATTTTCACACAACGTTGCCTTTGACTCAAAGTGTGTTTTAATGTCAGAAAATCGCACAAACAACGAACGACGTAGCCCCAGCAACAATCAAATGATTATTTGCTTCGTTGCCGGCCCGGATTTGTTTTTAGTTGATTAGCCATTTTTGACTGCTGAGCAGGGCTGCCAAAAAGTGCCTTTTCCCCCGTGATCCAGATATTTATATGCACACGACTAGTTCCTAAGTATTTGGACATGTAAAGACCTTAACCTGAGACATTATTTCTTTTTGAACTTCGCATTGTTATATAATTTCATTTCCACTAACTACTTGAGTCTTTGGTAGCGTAGTTCCTATCATGCGGGTGACCGGCGTCCGATTTTCCACGAGTTGATATAATTTTTTGGGGAGCTCCTAAATGGGCGGCTGACATGTTGTGTTGTGGTTTATGGCTAGGCTGCGATATCTGCGCCTTTTTCCGGTTTTGGGGTTTACAGGTAGCCTGTGATAGCGGCGGCGTAATGCTTAATGGTCATGTCACGGGTAATCTTCATAATCAGTGATATCTGACCCAAACTCTTCAGTCTTCGGTAGTATAGTTGTAAGTATTCCACCCTTCATGTGGGTGACTGGTGTTCTATTCCCCTCTGGGTGATAATTGTTCTTTTTCCCTTAACAGGGTGGTTGCCAGGTTTTGTTGTGGTTTACAGCTAGGCTGCGATATCTGCGCCTTTCGCCCACAGATATCCAATTTCAGTGAAGTCCTTATTAGCCTCCCCGCGACGCTTCACTCGGTCAAACACTACTCGGCGATGACAGACACTGTTAACTAAAACGGCTTACAGTCCAGTTTAGTTCGAGTGGACATGGATGCCAAGATCAGTTAAAAAAAATCGTCCTTCCGGATAGGGAGAGATGACGGGTGCAGGGTATTTTTCTCCGATATTTGTGAGTATAGTGTACTTTTTTAATCATGGAATATTACTGTGGGTTCCATCACTGGTTAGGTGATAGAGTTTTTTTTCTATGTCAGGGGCAAAATTAAACTAAACAGTCCATGGCGACAGCATGTGGAGCTAACTCCTCTGGCTACACTACACCGACAGTAGTGACGGTGGTGGTGGTAGTTGTAGCAGTAGTACTGGTACTGGATGGGTGATGTGGTAGCTGTTACACTGGCCACATTTACTTCTCAGTACAAATTGATGCTACCCATTTTAGTCTGGGTGGACACGGATGCCAAGCTCAATTTAGTTACAATGTTTCGTCAGATGATGACTTTCCCATCCTTCGGAGAGGATGATATGATTGGGGTCCCCCGTGTGGGTTCCGGGGCCCCATTGTGGGGAAAACAAGAATAGACCCACTGCCTCCCCAAAAGCATGTCGTAAAAGTCGACTAATTGGGGAGCTTCCTTTGAAGTCGGAGTGCATCTGCCGGAGAGGCAAGGAACCAACAGTCTGTATTCAAGGGAATGAGATCTGTAAAACTGATACACACGCAACACTCAGGTTCTGGAGCAGGACTGCAGTTCAGTAGTGGACGAGCAACCAGAACTTTCCACCAGAGTGTACAGCTGGTGAACGCGAAGAAGAAGAAGAAGAAGATTGGGGGAAGGGGGGGTGAAATGAACCTTAGCTCACTTGAAATGAGTCGAAGCCTGACTTGAAATGAACCTTGGTTTGACTTGGAATCAACCTTGGTTTGCACCGGCTTTAACTTAGGGTTGAGAACACAAATGCCACTCAGCTTCTTTGTATATTCTGTCAGTTTATTCTGGTCCATTTATTTCCCATGTTCAAACATTATCCACACTTCTATCACTCGTGACATATTCAAACACTAACCATTCGCGCGACATAAAGACGACATCTTCAACCAAATGCAACCGTCTTCCTCGACTTATGTTGATCAACTGACCCCGAGGCTAGCTCGGGCTTTCCCTCGTGTACTCGACCAGCCACAAGTATCTCGTGCCGTCACTTGTAGCACGGACTTTCTGCTTGCCACAATGTACTCGTGGAGACCATGCAAAGCAGGGTCATCACACTCTCCCCCCTTTTTAAAATGACACTTTATGGAACATCAAGTGTCATTTTCATTTAACCAGATATAGTAAATCAATTTAATTGTATTACCACTAGGAATTATGGTTCCTGATTATCCTCAATTACTGCCCTTTAAAACTGCCTTCAATATTCACTGCATGCTTTTCCTAGTACTGAGCTGGTGAAGAGTTTAAACCATCTTTACACCTATTTCATCTGTAGTATTGTCTAGTCACTATATCTACTCTATCAGGTTCAAAGTGAAATGATGATAGTGATGATGATGATTGTCAGCTTTGAGATATTTACTACATAGAAAATTGGATTGAGCCAATATTTCTACATCACTTTTTACAGGGTATTTATCCCCAAGGACTCTTAGCCGACATGATAGTGGTGAGATATTTATCATAGTGCTTCCGGTTTCCCAAAAGCCTCTATAACACCTTTTACAGGGTAATTACCCAACCCCAAGGAATCTATCACAGAAAAAAAAACACATGTTGGGATATTTTTCCATAGACCAAAGTCTCACCTTTCACAGGGTAATTACCCAACCCCAAGGAATCCAACATGAAAACAATGATAGTTGAGATATATTTTCATAGATCTTAGAGTTTCCTCCAAGTCTATAACCACCTTTAACAGGGTAATTAACCCCAAGGAATCTCAGACACCTTTACCCCTTTAGATGGACACAGATGAGTTCAACTGCTCTACTGTGCTTGTGCTTTGATGTGTGCACTCTTTCTTTACCATCCGTCCATCTAGTCAGCATCAGTATAACTATTAGCAGTTTATTGGGTGTGGTGGACAAATTTACCATGTCCCTGTGCTGTGCACCTATGCTAAACATTTTATTTTAAATATTTTTATCAAAGTCATTCTGTGGACAAAAAAATGTCCCTATATGATCTATTACTACAGCTTAATAATTTCATTCTTCCATGCTGTTCCTGGGGAGAGAGAAAATTTTTTTTTTAACCTTTTGAACTACTAATTCTGTCATTACATGAATACTAAAATAATTCAAATGAACTACTAACTTGGGTAAAATAAATGTACACTATTAATTAGTTTAAAATACTAATCACAAATCTTTCATTCATCATTCATACCTGTTTTATTTTCTCTCATTCCCATTCATTCCATTAACTATCCTTGATCTTGATCCATCCCTGCAGGCTGTGTGTGTCTTGCTTGTACTCTGGCGCTTGCTTTCAATGTTCTCATTCCTTGGTTAACCCCCGTGTGGGTTCCGGGGCCCCATTGTAGGGGAAAACAAGAATAGACCCACTGCCTACCCAAAAGCATGTCGTAAGAGTCGACTAATTGGGGAGCTTCCTTTGAAGTCGGAGTGCATCTGCCGGAGAGGCAAGGAACCAACAGTCTGTATTCAAGAGAATGAGATCTGTAAAACTGATGCACATGCAACACTCAGGTTCTAGAGCAGGACTGCAGTTCAGTAGTGGACGAACAACCAGAACTTTCCGCCAGAGTGTACAGCTGGTGAACGTGAAGAAGAAGAAGATACCTTGGTTCCCTCGACAGTCTGTTCTGCTCTGGGGTCTTTCTTGGTAGGATAGCTGGTAATCTTGCAAATATACTGACTAAAAATATTATAATTTTATGAGATGACCCAATACTATTAACAGTGTTCAGTGACTGTATACACTGATATGCCACCTTTAAAATAGTAATTGAATTAAACGGAAGGTGTTCAATACACACAGTATGTGGCTGCTTTTTATAAATGAAATCAGGTGTTTATGCACTTTTTAAAAATACTTCATCATTAATTATATATTTATTTACACAAACAGTTCAGATAATCAACTTGATCTAACTTTCACAATAAATACTTGTGTGAACACTAGAAATACTGACATTTTGGTTGTCTGTTGTTTGCGTTTAAATTGTAGGAATGCTTTATTATTATCGCATTCTTTATTTTATAATACGTTTGGTATTTGACGATCTTGATGTCAATTTGTATAGGTGCTCATGAAGTGTCGCTTAAAATTTGATGATTTTGAGATGTTTCAATCGTCGATTTTGAGGTGTCTGGAGAAAATTTTGTGTTCCTTGATGGTGATTTCAAGTTTGAATAATTCAGTGGCTGATATGTTTTTGTTCATTCATCGTACAGTACTAGTTCGTGATTTCTGGTTTTGGTTGAAATAAGACAATCTTGAAGGTAAAGAATGGTAAAGTATCAATTCCTGATGATTGTTTAGGTTTACCATTGATCGTTGGGTTGAAGGTGGTTCTCTGTAGCTTCATGACAGATAATCTTGAATTTAATGATGATGGACCGTAGTTTCATGTTCGTAAACGATGATAGTTGAATTTATAACAATAGATGGTACTTTTTCTTGATTAAGGTGTTCTTATTTTTGTTGATGTTTTAGTCATCTGAATAACACTGTATTCTTTTAATAAAATGGATGTTAACAGACGTGCATGTGTTCCCAGATTTGTATAACCTCTTCATGGCAGTCTTTGATGCCTTTTATATTTCCTAAAACAAAATCTACGGACATGTTGTCGAAAACAATTACTTTCATTTGTCCCGAAATGTATGGGGATTTTAGATTTATAACCGCTATTGGTAATTTAATTTTGCCATGATATGCATCCTCATACCAAACATAATCTCCAGTATAATCTGATGATTCTAAGAATTTTTCCCTTACTATGGTTAAATTTGTCTTCTTATTCAGTTGTAGGTCACCATGTTTGTTGTTAACAAGACATTTCGTTCTTACTTTTTCCCGATTTTTCCAATGTATTGCTGTTCTGATATCATCATTTGTTATGTTTGCATGTTTAAGCTCTACACCTTCATCGATAGTATTTTTATCCAAACAATCTCTTTTCACTGATGTCTCCTTTTCACTTATCCGTCTTAAACTTTCTGTCTTTGGAATTGCACTTTCTTCTTTATTCCAATTCTTAGTTGCTTTTGTTTCGACTGATGTCATTGTTGGAATAGTGATATCCTTAGCTTGATTAATTTTCATTGTTTCTGAGTTTGACTTACTCGCTGTTTCAGTGGCTGCTGTCTTTTTCGTTTCAACTTTCTTGCTTCTATTACTACTCTTGCTGGATTCTAATTCTGCAATCACGATTTCATTCTTAATCTTTTTAGTTCCTGAACATTTCAATTGGCTTTTTCCTATAAAAATGATTTGTGGAGCTGTATCTTTTCCTTGATTCTTTCTCCAGTAGCACAGTGCACAATCAAGAGTAGGAATACCTTCTGAATCCATTCTTTCTGAATTAGTTTTTGCAAACAAGAATCTTTTCTTGTCTTTTAACATCTGTTTACCCACACATTGTTTTACAACATGCCCCAATGCCGAACAAAAATGGCATTTTTTAAGGTTGTTGTTTTGTTTATTTTGCCACTTTTTATTGACCAAGTCTTCAATGTAGCTTGAATATTTAGGATTTCTGTTGCAGATAGTTGAAGAACTGTGCTGGTACTTACAAAAAATACACATCTTAATCTTCTGGTTGCATATCGACGCGTCTTTCGTTGTCGCTGATGATACTTGCAAGAAAGCGTTCTTACATTTTTACAAACTTTTTAGACGACATTCTGATAAACGCACAATCGATGCAAAAATGTCACTGTGGTTAGAAAACTTAGCATAACACTTTGTGCATACAATTAGTTCGTAGTCTGCTAGTTTCAGCAAAACAATAATGGTCACAAACCTGATTTAATTTACAAACTAGATTTAAAATATTTACGATGTGTAGCTTTGGTGAACACGAAACTTCCTGAATCAACAAAACTTAGTGATACGGTGTGTGGCAAGGCGTAGATGACACACCGTTTTTCATTGGTCGGCAGCTGACCTGTCGCAGCTTGCTGTGTTTATAGGCTCTGCTCGGGTGAAGACGTTGTATCGTACACTGTTTTCCGCATGTTTGTCTTACCTTGGAAGTAAAATTGTTTTCCTATGATTGAGGTCCACGTGGTTTCGAATTTCCTTCGGACAAGCTCCTCACTTGAAATGAACCTTAGCTTACTTGAAATGAGTCGAAGCCTGACTTGAAATGAACCTTGGTTTGACTTGGAATCAACTTTGGTTTGCACCGGCTTTAACTTAGGGTTGAGAACACAAACGCCACTCAGCTTCTTTGTACATTCTGTCAGTTTATTCTGGTCCATTTATTTCACATGTTCAAACATTATTCACACTTCTATCACTCGCAACATATTCGAACACTAACCATTCGCGCGACATAAAGACGACATCTTCAACCAAATGCAACCGTCTTCCTCGACTTATGTTGATCAACTGACCCCGAGGCTAGCTCGGGCTTTCTCTCGTGTACCCGACCAGCCACAAGTATCTCGTGCCGTCACTTGTAGCACGGACTTTCTGCTTGCCACAATGTACTCGTGGAGACCATGCAAAGCAGGGTCGTCACAGGGGGTTATGTCAGACACTGTCAGCTGAGAGCTATATTCTTTCTTTTCTATTTCACCATTCTGGGCCACAACAATGCGTGGCCGGGTACAGCTTGTATATTAATAATGTGGTCAAAAATGGTGACTGCATTTTCCTGATGTTTGTGATAAGTTGTCTTTGTGCCTTGGCTGCTACCAAACCATTTAAATTGTCAAATTTTAAACATTTCTTACACCTTTGTGTACATAAGTAAATAATGGTGAGCAGGTACGAGGAGAAAATGGAACTCACTACATTAATCAAGATCATCATTTAGCAATAATTTACATGCATCCATCGACAGACACACTATACAAGTAGTTCTGAATTTACATTCTAATTGGGAACAAAAACAGAAAATACAAAACAAATCTTACTTTGGCTGTTCTAACTGTTCCATTAAATCATAATACTGCAACAGGCAATTCTGGACAGCAGAAAATGTTAATATGTTAAGCTATACACAAAATATTTTATACAATGCTCAGTTTACAGTTCACTAAGAATAACTGCCAACTCTAACAGTAGTTATATTTTCTAAAATCAACTTCCTCAACAGACAATCAAATGGGAGTCACGAAAGTTCTGTCTGCTCCAGATACTTCAGAGGCACACAGAGATAGAGTGAGGGGGGGGGGGGGGGGGAAATGGAGGGAGGGACTGGCAAAGACATCAAAGGAAAAGAGAGAGAGAGAGAGAGAGAGAGAGAGAGAGAGAGAGAGAGAGAGAGAGGGAAAACAGAGAGACTGAAAGAACTACACAGAGAGAGAAACAAAAATGAGGTAGAGAGACAGAGACAGAGGGGGGGGGGGGGGAGGAGAAAATAAAAGGGAGAGTATGGGGATAGAAGGAAAGAGACAGAAAAAGATGAAGCAGAGATGACAAAGACACTAACAGGGGGCTAGAGAGAGGATGGTAAAGGAAAGGAAACAGATACAGGTATAAGGGAGGGAAAAGGGCAAACATACAGAGAGGACACAAAGGGCAGGAGAGAGAGGGGCAGAGTCAGAGAGATACAAAAAGGAAGGGGTAGAAGCAAGTTGCAGAGACATATCGAGAGAGAGGGCGAGAGAGAAGCAGTCATACAGAGAGATACCTAGAAGAAGTGAAGAAGAGAGAGTAAAACAGATAGAGATAGGGAGAGAGCAAGAGACAGACTTATACAGAGTGAGGGAGGAGAGTCAAAAATAAACTCAGAGTTGTAGAGGAAGGGTGAGACAGTCAGACACAGTGAGATATAGCGAATGAGGGAGGACAAGAGACAAAAAGGAGAGATAACAGAAGATTGGAAAGAGAGCAACCAGACATAAAAATACAGAGTTGGCAAGAGAGAAAAAGAGATTCAGAGAATGAAGGAAAGAGATAGAAAAAGATAAAGTGAGAGTGACAGTGTGTCAATAGAATTGCTAGAAAAATTACACATCAAAAGAATCAAACTAATATCAAAGAAAATAGAAAAAACCCACGAGGTTTTGTGCTGAAATAATTCCGCATCTCATCCCCAAATACAGCACAATTACTCTTGTACCCAAAAATGTTTTATGCTGGTTGGGAATAGGTGGGGAATTGCTCCCTTTGTTCCTTGATGTAGTGATAATGACTGCCATTCTTATTTCAAGGTTACTGGTGACAAACTTCAAGGACATTAGTCCTTTAATTAAAAACTTTTCCAGGTTTTTTGAAGATCCTGAAAGGGCAAGCTCCCTTTCAAGACATTTTCAAGGAATCAAGTGTCACCAGGAGCCCTGACAATCACTGGATTAAACTGAAAATAAGTATTTGAGAAAACTAGGCAGCCACTGCAAAGGTTACAGTATGCCAGTAAACAAGGTATTAAATGTGAGCAGGTGCAAAATCCACCCAGGTAGCAAAGAAATGAAGAGATACAAACTAGATTTTTTTAGAGGTAAGTGAAGATAGGTGGCCAACAGCAGATAAAAGAGTTGTTAGTTGGCTTACCCTTATATACACAGGGAGAGAAGATGGAAAACATATGGAATGAGTAGGCATTAGGCATTATGATTACATCCAGAACGGCAACATTTCTGCTAAGATGGAAGCCTATTTCAAGCAAAATAATTAGAGCAGTTTAGTATAAGACATATTTCAATGACCATCATTCAATGTTACGTTCGAATTAATAATCCTAGGACTGAGGGTAATGATGACTTTTATGAACCAACTGCAGCAAGTAAATAAAATTGCTAAACTTGACCTAGTGGTAGTAATAGAATAGGAGATTTGAAAGCAAAAGTAGGTAGTGACAATATGGGTGTTGAAAGAATAATGGAAAAGAAAGGAGTTAACACAATAAATGAAAATTAAGAACGACTAGCTGAATTCTATATGCAGTCAGATCTAGTGATTGAAGGCACTGTCTTGGCTTATAAGAGGATTCATAAGTTAACTTGGCGCTCACCCGATGGAGTGTCTAAGAATCAAACAGACCAACTCTGTATAAACAACAAGCATAGAATTGTATAAACAACAGGCACAGAAGCTCTTTGATGGATGTCTGAGCATACAGAGGAGCAGATGTGGGCAGTGGCCACATATTATGTACAGGAAAATTAAAGCTTAAATTAAAAACAGCTGCCAAAAAATATGTGCAACAAAGAATAAACAATCAAATACTTAACAAAGTAAACAAGAAGAGAAGAGTTCCAGCTTGAGTTGAAAAATAAATTTGAAGCACTTGAAGTAGAGGAAGATCAGAGTATTGAAGAAAACTGAAATGATGTAAAAGCAACCAATTAGAAACAGTAATGACTAGTGCAGGACTAAATTGGTGCGATAGAAAACCCTGACAGTGTATTCAGGAAAGAAAGGCACTGAAGCTTGCTATATGCAATGCTAAAACTGTGGAACAAGAAATCAGTGCTAAAGAAGATGACAAGAAAGATAAACAAATCAAAATTTGTGTTAGACGACATAAGACAGCTTATGTTGACAGATTAGCTGAGGATGGAGAACAGGCAGCTTAGAGTGGAAATAGTAAAATACTATAAAATACACTAAAAGAACTAACTAGTACTTTCATGTGTTGTGTGGAGGGAACACACCAGGAAGGAAATGAGAATGAATGAAGAAATGATTGCAGAAAGGATGAGAGCTAAGTGAGTGAGAAGAAACACATTAAATACAAATGTTGACAACAACGGTCCTGAAATCAAATGCTATAATTGTGGAAGACTTTTCTTAACCCGGGTGGGTCTTGCTAGTCACATTCTCCATCGCTATGGGCCCTCTGTCTCCTCATAACACTATCTTCTGGAAAGATGGAAAGGTGTCAATGAGTACTTTCAAACAGTGGGGCAGTCTCACTAAAAGTAAGGACTGTACAATGTTTACATCTGATACTGAGCAAAAGAAGAGATGGACAGAACAATTCTAAGAAATATGACATAGTCCACAAGAACTAATGAATTCTGATACAGAGGCTAAAATGACCATATTACCAATAAATGTAGGACAGATAAATGACATGGAAATCAGTGAGGCAATCAATTCATTAGCAAACAATAAGGCAGTAACCCCTGGTGTGTGTCTGTCCCTGTGTGCTGACAATGTGCTTCTTGGCCAGAACTTTCCAACATTCGCCTATCTTTCTCCACTATGTGATGATAATATTATTGCAGAAATGTTCAAGATGGCAGATGGTGTAACCATAAACCGAGTGAAAGATTTGTTTAATAGGATACGAGCAGAGGAAAAAATTCCAGATCGGTGGAAGAAAGGAATAATTGTTAAAATTCTAAAGAAAGGTAATCTTACTGACTGTAACAACTGGAAATGAATTATCATTAATGCCAAAGACTTTATAAAATAATTCTCAATAGAATTAAATGGGTAGTGGACAAAAACCCTGAGAGAGGAACAAGCAGGTTTTCGACCTGGAAGAAGCTTGTTAGATCAAATATTCACTGAGACACTGAGGAATTTATTGAAAAATGGCACTTATTTTGAATTTTTATTTTGACTAAGAAAGGTTTTGACAGTTTACATATTTTGGAATGCTATGATATACCAATGAAAATAATAATTAAGGCAATGCATAAAGAATCATAGTGTATAGCGAGAACAGACAATGGGTTAAATGACTGGTTTGAAGCTGATACTGGAGTGAAATAGGGATGCATTTTGTCTCCTTTGTTATTTGACATAACTATTGACTGGGTAATGAAAAAAAATTGGTGATGGAAACACCCAAACTGACTAGGTGAAGAACAGTTAGAAGCTCTCGATTCTGCTGACAATACTGTTCTGCTAAGTAGAAATAGCAATGATTTGCAAAGGAAAACAAGATGTTTTAGCAAATATAGCATCAAGGGTTGAACTACACAAATTATGCCACAAAAAGACAAATATACTGAAGACACCAACAACAGGTCAAGCAGATGTAACACTAGAGACGAAAGTAACTGAAGTAACAGATCAATTTACTTATTTAGGTACTAATTTTGATAGTGAAGGAAATACAAAGAAATAAATTATGACACACACTGGCAAAACATCAGCAGCTTTTAACAGCTTGAACAATGTACGGAAATCTATATTGTATAGTTTCAAAATCAAGCAACATATTTTCAATTTTAGCACACTCAAGTGAAAGTTGGAGAACCTAAAAAGTCATGAAATTAAAGTCAAATGCATTGAAAAAAAAAATGTTTCAGAAAAATGATGAAAAAAATAGGACAAATTCAAAAGCATGAAGAAATAAGAGAAAAGACTTGGCAACCACTAGTTTCAACAGTTATAAGACAGAGAAGCTGGTGCAACATTGGACACATCCTGAGAAGAAACCAGCAAAGAATCACCAAAAAAGCATTAAAATGGGAAATGAAAGGATTAAGGAGGCAAGAACACCAGAAAGAAACCCTAAAAAAAATGTTGATGAGAGAGGCCAACACTGCTGGACTGATTTCCATTCATGAAATTGAACTGATCGCTCAGGATGGAACAGAATGGTGGAATAGACTCTGAGTCCTGCATGACATATAATGGCACAACAGGATAATGAATGAATGACAAATATGCACACCTTAACTGGCTATATCTAAGAAACTGACAGCTAACCTCGAGCAGAATATGCAAATGTTAACTATGAAATAATCCCCATCCCACACAATTTGTCAAGAGCAAGTTTAGGGAAGTCACAGAAACAGTTTTAAGGAATTTTGAGAACTATTTTAAAACTGTACTTTCAAGCTGATTCTTAGTTATTAAAGAAGGCAGACTGCCATATTTGATTTGAAGAACAAAACCATGCTGCAATGATGAACTACATTTCAGTGATACAGTAGTTTAGCTTTAACAATTCACAACATTTACTCCAAGTAAGACCAACCTTTTGATGAAACCATTCTGGAGGCCTACTTGGTTCTGCATATGGCTTAATGGCTCTACTCACTGATACCCTGAAAAAAATCAAGAGTATGTTAAATAAACATATATATATTTGAATGTTTTTGAGAAGGAGAAAAGGGTGGGAAGATGAGAAAAACTCTGCCAACACATTATAAAAGCCCTTCTCCTATCCTGATCCCATGTTTCAGCAATTTGTTTGATCTTCTTGGTATTCCAGGGCCCACTTGGATGACTTCCTAACATTTGCCTCCCGCTGTGTTTCTGTAACTTCTGAGGTTTTATCTGTTCCTGTGTGCTGACAATGTGCTACTTGGCCAGAACTTTCCAACATTCGCTTATCTTTCTCCACTAGGTAAAGTGATCTCCATTGCATGCTTTGTTCTGCTGTTAGTTTACAATGACTTCTTTGATAATGAGAGTGTAAGATTTCCAGATTATGTCAAGGTGAGGATGACTGAAATAAATAGAGATCTGTATTTGTGCTTTATTGATTGCACTATAGTATTTGATAAAGTGAAACATGAAGAAACTATTAGAATTTTGGAAACTTTAAACACTGATGGTGAGGATCTGAGAAAAATAAGAAACAAATACTGGCAACAAGAAGCAGCCATAAGGATTGACAATCAACTTGGAACCTTTCAAGCAAAACATTAACCAGACATTAGGAATGTGTACTGATTGATTGGCACTTTCCTGATCGTGTTGTAGTGTGCTACAAAAGGGTATAGGACTGAGCCTATGGTGATAGTGAATGTGACTAGCAGGACCTACCCTTGTTAAGAAAAGCCTTCCCCAATTATATCATGGGTTGTCAACATTTGTGTTTAGTCTGTTTCTTCGCAGATGCTCAGCTCTCATCCTTTCTGCAATCATTTCTTCCTTCATTCTTGTTCCCTTCCGGTCCATTGCCTTTTGCTCCCACAAGTCCACCTCAACGCCTGTATCCTTTATGTCTCGTTTGCATACATCTCTATATCGTAGTAGAGGTCGGCCTCGTCATCTTCTACCCACTTCTTATTCACCATAGACGATGCCCGTAGGGTCTTCCACCCTCCATTCTCCAGGTGTGACCCAACAACTGAGCCTTCATAGACTGAGCATTGAGAGGCCTGCTCTTTCCAGTACCTCAGTGTTTGTGATTTTATCTTGTCCTGCCACTTTAAGCCAAGTATTCTTCTTAGGCATCACATGTGAAAGCTATTTAGCTGTTTCTCCTGGTGTGAATAAGCAATGTGTACTTTCACCCTATTTATTCAATTTGTACAGTGAAATAATAATTACTACAGTAATTTTGGTTGGTGGGCACATTGTGAACAACTTGTGACATGCTGATGATACAGTTATGATCACTGAAAATTGGCGGCAAGAAATGACGGATACGACTGTAACAGAAGATCAAAACAAGGGTCTTAGTTTGAACAGCAGAAAAACAGAAGTTATGGCAATTACAAAGAAAATAGACCCTCGAAAATGCAACATCACATTTAATGGAACAATCCTCATACAAGCTGAAACATTTACGGTCTTGGCTACCCTGACAACAGCACATGAAAGATGTATTAAAGAAGTTTTATGTAGAATAGCTCAAGCAAAATGAAAAATATTCTATGCAATCTCACTTTGTCAATTAAAACAAGAAGAATTCTTAAAAGCTATAAAAAATCATATCCTAATATATGGAAGTGAATCATGGACAGTTGGTAGATTAGAAAAAAAAAATGTATTTGGAAGTTGTGGAGATGAAGTTATAGAGGAAAGATGAGAATACCCTGGACAGATAAAAAGAGTAATGAATATATCTTGAAAGAAACTAACTCACAAAGAGAACTGATTGCCCACATCAGAAAGAGAATCTACATTCTTTGGTCATGTGATGAGAAGGAGAAAACTGGAGTTCATTGCGACAGTAGGAAAGCTGGAGGGAAGAGAGGCCCAGGAGGTTTAGTATCAGAGGCCCAAGGTGTGTTGGATGCAATTCTGAAATGTCACAAGTGTCATCATCATCATCAGGTGCCTTGCCGACTGGCGTGGGCGATCGATCATGCCTCTCCACAATCCAGGATCTCCTGCAGCATGTATCAGTTCGTGTGCTGACACACCTCCATGCCTTGCAACAAGACTGTCAAGAATCGTCTCTCGTTGTCTTCCTCTATCCCTCCTTTCACAGATCTGTCCAGTGGTCACAACATGTTCTATTTTCCCTCTTCTCATAACATGGCCGAAAAATGCTGTCTCCTTCTGAATCCCCACCTCTTTCAAAACCTCTTGGTTGCTCTTTTTGGTTGTCCAAGGTATTTTAAGCATTCTTCTGTAAAACCACATCTCCTAGGCCTCAAGAAATTGTTTGGCCTGCCTACCGATTGTCCAGGATTCACAGCCATATGTTAAAACTGGATGTATGTAGCAAGCAAGAATTCTTTGTCTAACTGTCAATGACAAGGATATATTGCAAAAGATATTCTTCATTTTATAAAATGCAGTTTTTGCCTGTCCTATTCTGTTTCTTATCTCAGTTATGCATCTTTTATCTGATGTTTTCCATGTGCCCTGATACTTAAATTTCTGTACTTGTCCTAAAATAACACTATCAACTTTAATTTCACATTTAGGAATAATTCATTTCTTTGATACCACCAGTATTTCTGTCTTCACAATATCCAAACTGAGGCCCATTCTTCCACTTTCTAACACCACAATGTCTATCATTTCCTGTAGTTCTTTCTGACTTGTTGCTATCAAGACTGCGTCATCAGCATAACGTAAATTGTTTATATTGTGCCCATCAACCACAATTTCGGGCATATCAATTAAAGATCTCATTATATATTCACTGTATATTGAAAACCAATCAGGTGATAGTACACATTCCTGTCGTACACCCCTCTTCTTGCTTTGAAATGTACCTAAACAGTTGTTAATTCTTATAGCTGCTGTTTGCTGCATATACATATTCTTTTTTATTCTTAGATCTTTTCCATCAATGTTTAATTTTTCTAACAGTTTGATTACTTCTTCATGCTTCATACAGTCAAATGCTTTTCTATAGTCTATGAAGCACAAGTACAAATCAGTCTTTACTTCTACGGCTCTTTCTGACAATGTCCTTAGGATGTATATGGCATTGTTTGTACCTTTTCCTTCTACAAATCCACATTGTTCATAGCTGATTTCTGGTTTAATTTTGTGTCACAAGTGTAACACATTAAAACAGACCATACTAATTCAACTGCCGTGCAACATGCACATCAAAGTGACCAGGGATTATTGAGGAACAATAATAGAACACTGCTTTAAAACTAAACTGTGTTAGTAGTTAATTATTAATAAATAGACAGATATGTTGGAGAAATCAGTAAAAAGAAATAATTTTTCCACTTACCTTTTGGTATTCAAGAAAAACTCGACAAAATAAAACCAAAACGAATCACAAATAAACATAAACCAATAAGTAATGTATAAATAAATATAAACACAACCTGTCCATTAGATCTCGTTCCAGAGAAACTTTTAGAACATCATAACAGAGTACTGACTTGACATGAGAGTTGAAGATTTTTAGTTTAGTAAGTTTTTAATATATTTTGACCACCAATTTCCTATTGCTATGAAAGCTCTTCTTGCCTTTTGTTTTCATATTTTAATATCTCTATCAGTTCCCCTATCTTTATCTACATTGCTGCCCAAATAGATGTACGACTCTACGTCATGGAGTGGGATACCATTAAGAGAAACCATATTACTATTTGCCTGATTTATTCTCATTATCATTACCTTTCTCTTATTTTCAGGCCTAGCTGTTGTGATCGTATATCAAGTATAGTTAACTTATCTTGCATCTGATTCCGTGAATGGGACAGAAGAGAAATACATCAGCAAAGTCCAGATCATCAAGCTGTTTTGTAGGGGTCCACTGAATTCCATTCTTGGTGTTAGCAGTTACTGTCTTCATATTCTAATCTATTGCCACTAAAATTAGTAGAGGTGATAAAAAAACATCCCTGTCGCACACTTGTTTTTATTTAAAATCTATGTTAGCTTTCCCTCATGAAGAACTCGACATTTTATGTCTTTGTATGTTGCCTTTACTAAGTTAATAATCTGCTGTGGGATTCCACAATGCCCAATTAATTTCGAGAGAGATTCCCTATCAATGCTGTCAAAAGCTTTTTCATAGTCTATGAATCTAATATAAAGTTGTGAATTCAGTTCAAGCTTTGCTGAACTGTCTAATACTTTTTTTTTTCTAACACTTTTCAGGATCGTAGTAAAATCTTGTTTATTTGACTCTAATGATGATCAGAAATTTAAAAAGCTGAAAGAGTAGACAATGTATCAGATGCGGCCACAATTACAAGAACACAACTATTAGCAATCAAGACAAGAAATGATTGGCATGGTGAGCCAAGAACTGTCATCACAGCACTTGGGAAATTACTATAAGTGCCCCGTTCTCATCATATGCAACCAGCAGAGAGTTCCACTTCCAATGGAAATAACTGGACAAAACATTGAACAATGCATCACAATGAATATCGATAGTTCGGTTTTCATAACTGTAATTTAATGCCCTGCTGCTTGCCATAACATACTGTATATCAGTGCTTATTTTATATAGGTGGATCAAAATCTATGGATGTGCCTAGAGAGCTGTGAACAAAGCTGATGACTCATCACTGGTTAAAATAACAATGTGCCGCTGCCTAGCCATTAAAACAGTTTTATGATACCTGTCAGTAAATACCAATAAATAGCATGCATCCTATACAATAACATGAATAAGACAGTCAAAGCAGCAAGTTATTGAAATAAATTAAGTAAACTTAGTTTTAAAATCAGCATATGAGACAAATATAAATTTTAATACAGAAGTAAAGTATTAAAATATTCATTTACTTCAGTAAATGTGATCAAACTCACAGACAATTCACAAAGAAAAAGAGAGATCACAGAAAGAGAGCGAGAGAGGAAGAGACACAGAGAGACAAAACAATATGAAAAGCTTATACCAGTTCTGATCTCCAATTTTAAATACTGCACTAGCAAGACATAGTTTTTCTCGAATGGACCATACGTCAAGAGGTTTCTTTGGTTTCAGCCCTGAAAATATACACAGAATGTTTTTTCAGAATATGACCATACACTTCCTCCCACCTGCTCACCACTCATTCACATAAGGCTCCATTTATATAGGTGAAATGCTAAAAGAATAGTTGCATGTCACAAGACAGCACCTCAGCCTAAGCAGTCATCCATAACCAATGTTTCTCAGTGCAAACTAAATCAAAGCAGTGTTAAAAAGCAGGATAAAAGATGGGGTAGGAATGTCTGGAGGCCATCAATTCAGTTTTATGCGATGCATATCATCAAAACTGTCACTACTGCCAGTATTTACCACTTCTGTGGTGCAGACAGGGAATCTTTGAACCTGAGAATTTAGGACTGCATGGCTAGTGCTGTCGCCACAGACTGTGCAGGTCAGGATTTTATTTTATTGCCTCCAACAGAAAAAATCCCAATGTTACAGAGGATTCAAAACCTGGGTTCCCCACATGAGCCTTCTTAACCGTTTGGCCAGCCGCTTCATACAAACAAAAGAGGTGGAAAAGAAACAGCTTCATACTTCATCTAGGAAAATAATACTAGGGAAGTGAGAAGGATCAGTGGAAGAGAGAAATTACTGCACATGACAATCAAAAAGATAGCTGATATAGACAACAAATAAATCTGTCAAAAATTAGTTTTCTTTACAGGATGTTACAGAAGCAGATCCAGCATTTTGGGCTGTTGTGATTTTATTAGACAATTTTTAAGTCTCTTCAGTAGTTTGTCATTGCTTTCTGAATGGCTGGCTGTCAATATCACTGTTGAAACCAATGCAAGATGATCTGCTGCCAAATCGCCAGTAGCCTGGATAGAACCTGGCCCCCTTGGAGTTATGAAATGCATTTGCAACACCTAAGCCACTGACAAATAAATCAAACCACCTAAAAAATATTAACAAAATAACTGTATTCATCATCCATTTTTGTTGTTAAGTGTCGTGGTGAAGAATAATTTGCAATTCATTGCATGCTGGCTGGCACCAGCTATTGTTATGCTCTGAAGTGTCTTTAATGTTCATCCATATTTTGTATGGGTATTCTCTTGCTCTTTTAGTTGATCTTCTGAGATGTAGTCCCTGTGAGTTTATTTAATGTTGCTGCATTCTAACGAGGTGGCCAGACCATTTGATCTGTTGTTTCTCGATTAATCTGGCACAGGATGTTGTTCCTACAATAAGTCTGACAGTATAGTTCATCACCATCATCAGGTGCCTTGCCGACTGGCGTGGACGATTATGCCTCTCCACAATCCATGATTTCCTTCAGCATGCATCAGTTCATGTGCTGACACACACCAATGCCATGCAACAAGACTGTCAAAAATCTGCTCTCGTTGTTTTCCTCTTTCCCTCCTTCCACAGATTTTTCCAGTGGTCACAACATGTTAAATTTTCCCTCTTCTCACAACATGGCCAAAAAATTATGACTGTCTCCTTCTGATGTCTGTAATAAGTTGTCTTCGGGCTCCCGCCTCTTTCAAAACCTCTTGGTTGCTCTTTTTGGCTGTCCAAGGTATTTTAAGCAATCTTCTGTAAAACCACGTCTCTGAGGCCTCAAGAAATTGTTTGGCCTGCCTACTGATTTTCCAGGACTCACAGTCATATGTTAAAACTGGATGTATGTAGCAGTCAAAAATTATTTTTCTAACCCTCTATGACAAAGATCATACTTCTTAGATATTTAAATCCCCTGACTTGTTTCAAGCCAGAACCAACTAAACTATTCAGCTGTACATATAACGTAGTGGACTAGTGGGGCAGGGGTTCTACTGACTTTCACTGTATAAATATTATTATTTATTACGCCATGTAATTTTTTTTTTATTAAAACTCTTTCGGTACAGTACCAAGAAACTCACCAAATGTTTAATTACCGATATTTATAAAATAAGCAAATTCTATAAAATAAGAGAAAAAAACTTATAAACTGCCCATTTGTTAATTTAACTCTTTAAGGCCCGAGCAACGCTGTGTGTGTTGATTGCGAAGTTTTGATTTGCCCAAACAACACAGTCTGTGTCGATTGTGTGTCCCGTAACACTGATTAACATACATCTCGGTATTCGTTCTAGTGTTTGAGTATTCAGGGAAGGTTACTCTAACGTTTTTCTTTGTAAACAAGTCTATGTTCACTGATATGTGGGCGCAAAGTAATCCAATTCATTGCTAGCTAGCCTGATTTTCAGACAATGCATTTCCCAATTCCGTGTTCAAGTGGCCATAATTACCAATGTTCCGAACACAAGCGTAGACCGAAAAAATGCATCTTTTTGTGGCTGAAGCTCTGAAATTGTTTGTCAGATGTTTTCTAATATTTTAACCTTTACATTTTTTGGAAAATTATTTGGACAATAAATTTACACCAACAGCAGCTGAGCATCCATCTGTTTGTTGTGGTAAGATAAATCCAGGAGGACCCATTTAATTTGCAAAAGGATGCGATAGTCACTCATATTCTCATTAAAAAGATTGTTTTAGACAATATCATACTCACACTATGGCTAAGCTACACTGATTTCATTGCAGTTATTTTTTTTTTTTTAAATTTTGTTCAGCACTCTATGAAAACCTGGAGCCTCTGAGTGATAAACTAACCTAGAAACATATCATAACGTTTGAATTTGTTTGGAAACTGAACAAACTTTAAAGTGTTATTCTCAAATTTGGATATTCACTGCTCTCGTGGCTGCAAAACGATGGTAAGTTAAGATTTTTGGGCTCTTCTCCGAACTTCTACCCCCGCATTATGGCGGCCTGAAATATCCGTTCGGGACTCAGTTCTATTAAAAATATGCCGGCTCCGTATAACGAAACAAATGCTCTAACAGGGTCTCAGTGATATGTTAATTGCGGACCTGTTTCTTATTGATTACCTGACAATTCTAAGAGATGCAACACTGCAGACGATAGTAGCAGAAGATAATAGCGACCGTTGACACTTTCCATTGTCGGACTTTCTGCCGAGGAACACATATGTAAAATGGGGACTTGTCGGACTTTCTGCTGACGAACAAATTGCGGCAAATTTAGGATCGGCTCGGAAAAACGAAACAAATGCTCAAACAGGGTCTCAGCGATATGTTACTTGCGGACCTGTTTCTGTGACTATGCCTCACCACCGACCGTATCCCCTGCGCCGCGGATAAGGGCTAAACTAGATAGCTGGGACTCACGGGCAGCAGCTACCGCATCTGTGCAACTTCCTCCAATTACTTTGCTCGTGAGTCCCAGGCACCTAGATTAGCCCCCCATCCGGGGGATACGCTCGGCGGTGAGTTTAATCGCGTTTTGCGCACGCTGACAAGTCTGACATCTACCGCAGCTATATCCTCAATCGGAAGAACAGTATTGCTAATCTGTGTGGGAGCGCGTGGTCTACCCGCCATATCTCTTTCATCGTCTGTAATGTCTCGAAATTGTCAACGGTCGCTTTTATCGTCTGCAGAAACACTCGACATTGTCACCGGTCGCTTTTATCGTCTGCTTGAAATTGTCAAGAAATCCTAGTTTTGCTGCGATTTGTTCCTTGGCAGAAAGTCCAAATTTTTCATTGAACTGAGCCCCGAACAGATATTTCAGGCCGCCATAATGCGGGGTTAGAAGTTAGGAGGAAAGCCGATTTTCAGATTTAAAAAACTGTCTGTAAACATAACACCTACTGAATTTTTTGTCCTACTAGCTATAACAGTATAATCAGGGTTCATAGCCAAATTTACCAATTAATTTCAAGGCTTTTCAAGGTCCTTTTCAATGTCTCTTTAGTTTTTTTCAAGGTTGTCTCGGTGTAATACTGAAACAAGATTTTTGCCTTGTTCAATTGTGTACCGAGCACACAATGTACTTCATTCGTGCCACATATGTTGGTATACCAGCACATATATCATCATGTAGCATTTCTTTTGTCTTGAAATAAAAATCGGTCTCTCACCAGCTCTCCTGTCTCATGTACTTTTTTATACACAAGGAGTCACTTATATCCTGTGCCCATCTTCGTGTTGGTCGGCCCCTGCGCTTGATTTAGTGTTTGAAAATTTTTTTAGGACTTGGTGGTAAAGGGCAGCAAACTGAAGTCCTGTCTGTTCTGGACATGGTACCTGAAAGGGTAAGGTGGGGAGAGAGAGAGTCGTGCAGAGAGGGAGGAAGACACATGCTGAGGAAGGCTGGGAGAGACAGTGTAAAGATGGACAGATGAAGGTAGAGGAAAGAAGGAAAAGAAGTCTGGGGAAGAAGGAAAAAATGAGAGGGAGGGATGGAGACATGATGAGGGAAAGTGGGGAAGGGACAGCGAAAGACAGAGAGGGAGACAAATACAGAAAGAGGGAATGCAGATACAGAGATGGGCAGATGAAGAGAGAAGGAAGAAGGGAACGAAACAGAGATTTGGAAGGAGGAAAATATGACAATGATAGTTGAAGGAAGGGAGACAGAGGGAGAGAAGCAGATGCAAGCAGAGATAATTGTAGACATAAATGAGAGAGAGACAGAGGGACAGCATAGAGAGGCAAGCAGACAGAGGGAGAGAACCAAAGAAAGAGAAAAAAGGCAGAGAAGGAGAATGGGAGGGAGGTATACAAAGAGGAAGTGATGAAGAGAGACAAACAGACATGATGCAACAAGAGAGAGAGAGAGAGAGAGAGAGAGAGAGAGAGAGAGAGAGGGGTAAGGAAGGCAGTGACAAACACAGATTAAGAGAGAGGGGCAGGGAGACAAGATACATCAAAGAAAAAAAAACAGCCTCTTGCTGAACCTCCCCCCACAATTTCAAGTGTAGTGGACACAATCACTAGGGAAAGATAGTTATGGGGCAAAAAAACGTATGTAGATGAACCAGGAAAAAAAATGGGGAGGGGGGGGGGGGGAGGAGGGGGGAGGGTTAGGAAATCTAGAGAAAATGAAAAGACAGGATAGGGGAGAAAAAGAAGAGATGAGACAGGAGAAAAAGCAAGAGAGAACAGAGCAAGGAAAGGAAGAGAGGAAGAATGGAGAGAGAAAGGAG